CAATGAAAAAGTTATGTTTTCTACATATTGGTCCATCTCAAATGTTTTTCCAGCTTCTCGGGAAGTGGAAAAGTTATCTCACAAATGGCTTCAATGTGGCCGAAGCAACATCTGATGTACACATGGACAGTCAAAACAATTATCAGTGGTACTCAACTTGTAGGTCCCCAGGTGTTTTGGCCTACAACTCCCAGAAATCCCGGTCAGTTTACCAACTGCAAGGATTTTTGGGAGTTGAAGACTAAAACATCAGATTGAGAACCACTGCTCTAAACAAAACTACATGTTCCTAGTAATGTCGAAGGCTTTCATGGCCGGAATCACTGGGTTGTTGTAGGTTTTTTCGGGCTATATGGCCATGGTCTAGAGGCATTCTCTCCTGACGTTTCACCTGCATCTATGGCAAGCATCCTCAGAGGTAGTGAGGTTTATACATGTTATACACTACCTCTGAGGATGCTTGCCATAGATGCAGGTGAAACGTCAGGAGAGAATGCCTCTAGACCATGGCCATATAGCCCGAAAAAACCTACAACAACCCACTGTTCCTAGTAAACTTTGTACTGTGCTTCGTTCCATTGAAAACAAACAGTAATATAAAAATAGTTTTGGAATTAGTGATATAACATTTCCAGAGATTTTGAAACCATGGTGGAGTGGTGCCTCCTCCTTTCTGCAAAAAAGCCATTTTCAGAAAAATGGGAGGGGAAAATACATAAGCACCCTTAACAAACTGAAAATCACTATGTTGAAATGTTTTCTACTATAATAGTACAGTTCATTCAAACAGAAATCACAATCTGCGTTTATTTTATTTTTAAAACAATTGTTACCAGTTCTCAAATTGTAAGCAATTCTTGAATGGAAAGGGATATCTTTGGCTTTGCCAGTTTATTACGAGTAGATAAAAGCATGAAAACCCCCAATAAAAACCCAGAAGAAACCACTGCCATTAGCAAAGCAATTATTGCCTCTCTTCTAGTCATATCCAGTATGTCAAGTGGATGTAAAATGCCCATCTCTACAATAACAAGTGAAATACCAGTAATTGGAATAATCTGATTCAGTATAGTGCATCATCTAAAGGTTTTCCTGTCACGGAGGTTTTAGAATTAATTTTTGAGATAGTATATGTATAAACTCTTCGTTTTACACATCCTATTCATCATTCATGATTCTAAAAGAAATATTTTATAATTCATCCCCCCCTTTCCCAGAGGAAAAAAACAAAATACATCTGGAATTTCCTAGCTCTGTTTAGAATGTGTAGTAAAACTAAAGTAATTAAGGTGCAATTCCTATTTATAAAAATCCTAGACATAAAAAACTTCAACTCTTGTTGGGTCCAGCCAACCATTCCAATACTATGTCAGATAACTGGAGACAGGGAGTTATGTTTCTACTTTCTTGAATTTAAGAATTTGTGTACATACTACTTGCAAACTCTTCACAGTCTTATGTTGAACATCATCAGCTTGTAATACTTCCAAGTATTTGTAATTTCCATTGTGGTTCTGGCTTCTATACTATTTCCTACAAAGGTGCTTTGTTCCGTCTGATTCAGCAATTTTCTCTTTATTTATTGACAGTGTAGCACATCTGTCAATTCAAAATTCCAATAAGCTGTCTTGAAGGATTCAGTGTAGCTGATATACAATAAACAGTTCATTTTCCTCAGGTTGCTTTGATGTTTCATCTCTCAGATTTGTTTTCTTAAGCATTCCTGAAGGCAATATCATTGCAATAGCAAATAATAAAGGAGATGAGGAATCAACCTGAAAAAATCCTTGCCTGATATTAAATTCTGCCAAGTTTTTCTAGTTTCTATTTATGTAATTATTTATTTGTGCTGATTCCTACAATTTCAAGACACTTTTTGATCCACATGTGTGTCAAAGAATCTGATGTTTTGCCCACATCTATGGCAGGCATCCTCAGAGGCTGTGAGGTATGTTGTAAACTAGGCAAGTAGGTTTTATATATCCTTAGTTTTTGCAATTCTCTAGATGAGTGTGAAATGTCAGGAGGGTATGCTTCTGGAGCATGGCCATACAGCCCAGAAAACTCACAGCAACCCAGTGATTCCAGCCATGAAAGCCTTCAAGAACACATTGAACCTCTCTATGAGAAACTGTTCCAAGATACAGAGATTGGAAAAAACTAAGGATATATAAATCCCACTTGCCTAATTTCCAACACACCTCACAACCTCTGAGGATGCCTGGCATAGATGTGGGCAAAACGTCAGGAGTGAATGCTTCTAGAACATGGCCATACAGCCCAGAAAACTCACAGCAACCCAAGATAAGTTTACTTTACAAGTTTTCTTGCTTTGGTTATATGGGATGGAAGAGTTACTCAGAGCGACAATGACTTCTGACTTTATATACAGTTTAAAAGGTCACAAATCCAAGCCTGAATTGTTTTTTGTTTTTTTACAAGCTTATGAAATAATACGTGGAGTACATACTGCTGGCGACATCAGACTGCACAAAGCTGTCCCTCCATGACATATCAAATAGCAATAAAATGCCACTGCTAAGGGTGAGCCAAAGGCCACGGAGCCAGACTGCAATTGTGCCAGTATATCTGAACTATTTTTGATGTCATTCTTCTTCTAACAGGCTGTAACACCCACCCAGCCCCTCAGTGAGAGGTAATGACTCCACAACTAAAGGTTAAAAAGAATCTTTCTGAAACTTGTGGAGCATATTAGATACTCACATCCAGGTTTCTTTTGTTATGGACCCAACGGTTGAGCCATGAGATTCTTGGCACTACATCAGGATCTAATAGCAGGCCAATTCACAACTAACACATCCTGAAGGAAGCTGCTAACATTCCCTGAGACCAGGTAGATACATAATATAAACAGGATGATGAACTGATGGGAAAGCCTCAGCACATCAATAAATATTACCAACCTGTTGCAGGAGCAAATCGATGGGACTTTTATGGGGTTTATCTTAGAGTTTATGAAGTCACATGCCAAAACCTCAAATATTTTTAGAAAATATTTTTTCAGAGGGAAAAACCAAAGTGGAATGATAGAAAATCAAGGACTCCATAATGTACTCAGTCTCAGCTACATAGTTAGCTGTAGAGATGATAAATCTCCACAGCAGTTAATACATAGACTGGAGAAATCAGAATATTCCTGGCACATTTCTGTTTTTCTCCAGAATTTCATATATTTTGGAGCCTACTCAAAGATGCTTTGGATCCTACTCAAAGATGCTTAGGTATTCAGAAATGTAGGATAGGAAAGAGACATAAGATTTATTATTGCTGATTGAAAACCTACTGAAAAAGATAACTTGAAGCACAATGGCTCCATAACCTTTGTGATTTAAAATCATTCAGTGAATATTTTGAACATATTTCAGGCAATTATCAACATTTGACAAAGAACACTGGCCAATATTCTGTATCAGCTTATTAGTTAAGTAACCTCTCTTGGCCCACCCATGCCTCAAAGCTGACAGCAATGCACCCATGCTCCAATCACAGATGGACTTAAGCACTTGACACCCAGAAAAGTAGGCTAGCAGAGCAGTTACAATCAGGGCAAGAGTATCAGAATTGTGACTAAGTAGGATTGTGAATACAATTTTGTCAGTATTTCTTCTGAAACATAGGATACAGAACTTGATATTCCTTGGTACAAACTAGAATTGATTCTGTTTAGCTTCCAAGAGCAGACAGGATCAGGCCCCTACTGAATACTGGCCCTTATCAAGTTTGAATATACAAGTTTGAAAGTCCCTGCCTTTACAAATCACAAACACTTAAAACAGCTTTCCTTAAACTGGTGCCCTTCAAATATTTTGGACTTCATCTCTTACAATTAGTCACTAATAGCTGATGCTGATGGGAATTGCAGTGGAAAGCACCCAGAGGGCACAAGCTTGTTGGTGAGAAGAGGTTGTTGACACAACATCCCATTAATAGCTCAAAAGGCAGCCTCCTGGTAGTTCCTGCTGCAATCCGTATGACAGATGAGTCTTAGTTCTTGTTATGGATCGACCAAAGTGCAGAATGCCAAGCTTTGACAAGCCTGTAATAAATATGGTTACAGACATCACATTGGGATGAGAAGAGAATCAAAACAAAGGCTTGTTTTTGACATTTAAGACCTTGAAACTTCACAGCCGTAGGCTCCTTCAGGTGAGTTCTGAATTTGCAAATATATGGTGAAGCAGACTGTAGGCTAGAAAAGCTCAGGTCACACTAGCTCTAAGGCACCATAGCTCTTTTCTATCAAGTAAACTTGAGGACTATGCTGCCATTTTACCATTTAAAATCAATTTGACAAAAACTAACAGCAAACCACTATATGCCCAAACCAAATATTTAGATTACCAATTTGTATCCATTCATATCTGATGCCAGATAACACTTAACATCTTCAAAAATGGTTAAACCTCCCAAGTCAATCTCATCAGATGTTCTTTCCTAGACTAATTTCAAGGCTCCTTTTGAACAGTAACTACTTTTTTCTGTCACCATTAATTTTATTACTTTTCTTACTATACTGATGCTCTCACTGTGGTTTCTGTTATATCAACATCCTTTCCTCTCTAACAACAACAACAACAACTTTTTTTTTCTTATCCACCTCTCTTTGTGGCTTGGGGCAGGTTACAACACAGCTAAAAACATATAATCATTATATAAATACACATTAAAACGATTTCTAAAAATACATATATTAAAATACACAGAACGATGATTTAAATGCAGTGGACACAAGACACAAGTCTAAAATTCATGGTTAAAACCAGCTGGGTAGAAGAGATGACAATTATGCTGGGGAAAGTGGAAGGCAAAAGGAAGAGGGGCCGACCAAGGGCAAGATGGATGGATGGCATCCTTGAAGTGACTGGACTGACCTTGAGGGAGCTGGGGGTGGTAACGGCCGACAGGGAGCTCTGGCGTGGGCTGGTCCATGAGGTCACGAAGAGTCGGAGACGACTGAACGAATGAACAACAACAGAAGAGATGGGTTTTCAATTGTGTCTTGAATTCTGACAGCTATCAGAGCTCTCCTGGTAGATCGTTCCACAGCCTTGGGACAGCCAATGAAAAGGTCCTTTGGGTGAGAGTCACTAGTTGGGTTCTGGCGAGCTGGAGTAGCCCTCCCCAAGGATGGATTGTAAGAGAGAAGGTGATTATGTAGTAACCTAAACCCAAACCATGACAGGTTTTGAAGGTCAAAACAAACACTTTGTACTTTTGTTGGAAACTAATTGGTAGTCAGTGGAGTGACTTTAGAATACGTGTAATATGCTCACTCCTACATGTTCCTGTAATAAATCTGGCTGTTGTATGTTGAACCAATGAGAGTTTCTGAACTTGGTACAAAGGTAACCCAATGTAAAGCGCTTTGCAGAAGTCCAACCTTGAGGTTACCAGTGCATGCACTACCATCTTCAGGTTCTCCAAATCTAGGAAGCTGGCACATCAGCCAAAGCTGATAATAAGCACTCCTGACCGATGCATCTACCCGGCTGACATTTTGAGATATGGATCCAGGAGCATTACCAAGCTGTGAACACAGTCTTTCAGGGAAAGTGTAACCCTGTCCAGAACTGGCTGACACACCTCCATCCCCTTAATGCAAGCACCTTGGTTTTGTCTGGATGCAGTTTCAATTTGATTTTCCTTATCCAGCCCATTACCTCCTTCAGGCATTCATTCAGAGGAGACACACTATCCTCAGCAAGAGCTGTTTTGGAAGGCATGAACACATATTTTTGAGTGTCATCAGCATACTGATAGCACCTGCTCCATGCCTCCAGATGATATCTCCAAGTGGTTTCATGTAAATGTTACAAAGCATTGGGGATAGAATGGCACCTTGTGGGATGTCATATTACAGCTCTTTTTTGAGGAGCAGCTATCCTCAAGCACCACCATGTGAAACCTGCCTGAGAGGTATGACTGGAATCACTGCAGGACAGTGCCTCCAATTCCCAACCCCCTCAGGCCTTTCCGAAGGATAACATAATAAATGGAATCAAAAGCCGCTGGGACTTACGGGTCTTCAAATTGGAAATAACGTGAAGCCACACAACACACCCTGTGAGTGTCTTTAACTTAATTTTAACACAGTCTGGACAACAATATTCCTCAGTTTATGGAGACCACAGCTGCTCATGGTTAGATGCTTTTCCTTCTTAATTCTTTTTTTATAAAAAAAAAATCTATAATATCTGCTGCAACACTAAATTCCTTTGGCTCTGATTAAAACAGTGTGAATGTCCATGACATTTGTACCTGTCAAACCTGTCATCAAGAGGTGACATCCTCCCTGGAACTGGGAGAAGAATGTGTACGAATCATTGTTGCTTAAAAAATCTTCAACCACCAAACCTTCATGCTCAGCTTCTTTCACCAATGTCTGGCTACAAAAGGCCCCGGCTGCTTTTGTGGGTCCATCTTGTCCATCAGTTCCCCCACTCATGAAGGCAACTTCACATCTTTCAAGAAAGTGTCCTGCTGCTGTGGACCGAACTCGGTGCAGCTCCAAGGCCACTCGCAGAGCCAGTTCTTGGTTCCTCCCACCCTTCCCTTTTCCCTGAAGCTGCACAGTGGTTTCTCCACCAGCCAGGAGACAAATGGGCATATTTCCCTGAGTTTCTTCCAAGGTTTTCAAGACACCAGCAAGGTCCAGCCCTGGGATTGCCAACTCTCCTGCCAGGTTTGAGAGAGCTTCCCTCACCTTGTCTTTCAAGGGGTCATTCCTGTCAACGCTAATGGTGCTCAAGCAAACAAACTGAATCAACAAGCTGTAGAGCTGGGCAACTGTGCTGACTTCCCCACACACGGCATCACTCAGAAGCACAGACAGATAACCCAGACTCTCCGCCTGGTATTTGGCCTCCTCCAAAGCTAGTCTGTTAGAACCAATGACAATGTTGCAGACATGAAGAAACTCTTGGGGCATATCATGCTCTGTAACAGACTGAGACAAAACTGTCTGTACAGACTCTGGCAGGTCATTCAGCAGATCATATTTGGCCAGTATCTGGAAACAATCCTGGCTGCTGTGAGAACTGGCAACTGTAGGTCCACTTGCTATGATGTCCAATGGGTCCCCAATGACATCAGAGAGGATGAGGCTCAACACCTAGAAACAAAGAAGGCAGCAGGTAAATGTGGTTCATGCTGCACAAAAGCTTGCCTGATATTCAGCTGTGCCTGCTCTAAATTAGGGCTTTAATTGCAACCAAGGACAAATGTATCTGTGCATCCTCATCACTTGAGTGATTGCAAGGTTATACACCACAGAGAAGGTTTCCATGATAGACAGAAGAGTTTTCAATAAAGTTCAGCATTCAATCAAAGAGGCAAGGGTCCTCATCAAACTCGCTGTCAAGAAAGCTCTGCTGAACTCCATTCAGGTTCCATCCCAGAAAGCACACTTCTGCTTAGGGCTGCAGAGCTCAGTAGCTATAAGAGCATATTTTAAATCTGCAGAACAAAGGAAGCATCTTCCCTGTTTTAAAAGGTGCTTATCATTTTCTCTTGGTAAACGGAGTAGTTCTCCTGGGGATGCCTGCCCCAGCGTGCACACATTGCTTAAAAACAAGGATAAGAATACTACAGGGTAATGTCTGCTATTTCCATATTTAATTAAACCATTGATTCACTAATAGAGGGAAATCTAAGCAAAAATATCAAGATTTAACAAGGTGTCTTGCTGGATTAATTACATTATTTAGGATAATGATGTAAAAGACGGGGGATGACCAATTGACAATTTAATCTGAAAACTTATTTAGAGCAGAAGGATGGTGAACAATTCTGTGAAATAATTTTCAGTCAGATTCTAAGACAGGGTCATCTCATATTCGCTGCCATAGCTATGTCATTCACATTCATTTCCCCCTTCATGCTGGCGACAAAAAGGGAGGTGAATTATGTAGCTGTGTCTTCAAATATTTTATGTCTGCAGCAAACCCTATACCTCTTTGCCAAATAAAAGAGGGGATCCATCTTCAATCCTACCCACCCTTCTCACAGAGACAAGCCTGCCTTCTGCACATCTGAGAAATAACTCATTCTTTTTTGTCCCATTTACAGGCATTTTTAAAGTCTAAAATATGTGTTAATGTTATAGTCAAATATATGAAAACAGGGAAAAACTTCTTTCAAATGATTTCTAAGTTCTCTAACCAATTATATACAACTTGTGTATAAAACATAAATTGGGTAATTATCTATATTGTTAGCTCAATTTGCATATTCCATTATAGTTGAATAAATCAGGATTTTTGATAGCATACTTTGGGATTCTTCAGCACAGAGTTTCACCTCCCTTCCTGAAAGCATTCTGTTCAGCTAAGAGATTGGATTCTATTGCTATTCATTTTTCAAACAAAAATGCCTGAATTTGATAGAATGGTAGATAGATGCCTGAGTTAGACAGATGCAGGGACATGACGTAAGGGCTTACAGATTCAAGTTAGAGGCTATTGCAGTCCTCTCACAAGGGCACATGCAATGCCTTCCATAACTCCCTGGTGCTCATTAAGGCTGGAGCTACACTGCCCTGCATCCCAGGATTTGATCCCAGGTTATCTTCTTACCCCAGATTATCTGGCAGTGTAGACTCAAAGCAGATAATCTGGGATCAGATCCTGTGATACAGGGCAGTAAAGATCCAGCCTTAACCTACCATTTCCCACTTCATGCTATCATCCAGCTGCTAACAAAGTCAGCTACACTTTACAACAATTTCCTCTTAATATTTTTTTTGGCCTTAAGTCTCCCACACCATACACATTGCCCTCTGTACAATCTGGAGGTACCTGGATATTGACTATTGTTCAGGTAAGAATCAATAATGTCCTTCCATTCCTCAAAGGTCTTTAAATCGTAATATTGTTAGGATGGAGTTCCACAATGTCACCTTTTGGGAGGGCACCACTAGGGTTGGCTCCTGCGCAAGTAGGTTAGGTTCTGTTGCTCACAAAACACGTCACGTCCCTACCCCAATGATACAATCAAACCTTTTCTCCCTATGTTCTACAATTTGCATAGACTCACAGGCAAACCCGAAAGTAGATAAACAGTAGAATATCAGAAATCCACCCCCCCCCCCACCCCCAGAGACAGGGAACAGATTGTGTTTACAGGATCACTGGTAAGGAGAACTGAGCCCCATTTCCTCTCCCTGAGTAATCGTGTTAGAAAACTAAAGCAGGATGAGGTGTGGTACCTTTTGTGATTCTGGCAGGTATATGGAAGGCATGAAGGGACCCATCCTCATGTGTGCTATTTCCTAGAAGAACTGGAACCAAACCTACAAACTTGAAACCCAAATTAGCAGGTTGTTGATCCCCTAGCTTACAATATCTTGTGTTGTTTCACTTACTCAAAAGACCAGGTGTCTTATGCCTCTCTCAAACATATCAACCAGATTTGCCTTCACAGACATTGGAAAGGATGAAATCTGTCCATCCCTTCTTGCATCACAACATATTTTCCACTTCACCTATTAAAACTTTCACAAAAGTACTGGAAAAACAGAGCCTCACCTGGGCAGGATAGGCAGACCGGGCCAGCCCTCCACCTTTCAACAAGGAAAGAGCCTTTCGGAGAGTATTGAGCTCTTGAATGGTTGCTCCTTTCAAAGCCAACAGCCTGGTGATAGTAGTCTTCTCTTCAAGAGTGACCGGAGGGATGGGTGCAGGTAAAAGTGCTGACCCACCTCCTAAAACACAAGAGAACATAAAATAGCAAGTACATATTTGCAGCTACAAGGATAATAATATTGACTGTAAGGTGGGGGGGGGGGTCCAAATAACTTTTTGAGGCCAACAAAAACAGCACCAGAGTCTCTGTATGCTCCATTGAAACACACAAAGGAAAAGATGCCAGAAAAGCACATAGGAGAAAGGGAGAACAAAGGTATCCCTCAGCAGGGGGACTTTATACTGAAGGAAAAGAAATCCATATAATCTTAAACTGAGACTTGATTTTCTAAGGAATTGTTCCTTCCAGTCAAAAGTAAGGCTTACCAGTTTTGCTCCTTTCAATGTGTTTTGTTTGACCCATCACTTAAATTTGTCTCTTACTGTTAAAATGCCATCAAGTTGACTTGGACTTGTGACAAGCCTATGAATGACAGACCACCAAGAGCCCTGACAATATAAAAGCATCTTGAAGAACTCACTGCTCTTTTCCTACAAAGGAGCCAGAGCAAAAAGAGATTTGAGTTTTCAAAGCAATTTTTCATATTTTCAAACAGAGAACCACATTTCATTATCTTTTTAAAACTCCTTTGTTACTCCTGGTGAGCTCAGGACCAGAGGCTGTGGGGCCCAGAGGAGTCTAACTGGATAGTCTGCCCAGACCCATCCTCCATACCATCTCAAGACAAAATGTAAACTATGTGACTCTAACATTGTCACTTCCTCCCCATTTCTCCTGGACACTTTGCCTGATGATAAAAAAATTATTTTGAAAACTTGCACAAAATGTCTCATAGTTCTGTGAAATTTTCCAATGACATAGCCATCTTAGGCTGACATATCAGTAGGCAAAGGGTTCAGTATGCAAAACCGTTTTGAGTTCCCCCGGGGGTGAAAAAGGTGGTATATAAATACTGTAAATAAATAAAATAATAAATAAATAATTCTTGTAGCACCTTGGAGATTGAGAGAATGAAGGTGGTAGCATGAGCTTTCATAGACTAACGACCTCATCAAATGGTGTGACTTTCGGCGACATACGCTGCTTTCTCTACAGTTTTATGACAGAGCCTGCTGGCTCCCATCCCACGATTATGAACTATTTCCAGTGGGACTCCATTGTAAAACTTTAGAGGAAGCAGAGTATGCCACTGCTGCGCCAACGCAGGAGGGCTCCCCTGTTCAATCACCATCAATGGGGGGGAAGCCAGGTGGCTGACACTTCCCCCTCCCCCCATGGGATGGGGCAACAAGTGAGTTGGGCAATGCAGGGCATGGGTGACGGCTTCCTCACAAACTACACCAGGCATCACCAGATTCACCATGATGCATGGCGATTCCAACGGCCTGTCTGATGAGGTTGTTTGTCTACTTTCTCAGATACATCTGATTTTGAGATTGTTTCCTCTCAGTAAACACTGCCACAACATTCCGTTTTACAGGGCATGACTTCTTCTCACAACTAAAGAACTAGGGTCAATTATACAAAAACACGAAGGAGAGTAATATTTTTCCTCCTTCCCTGACAAAGGAAGTAGATTAAGTTCTATTATTTTTATTTGCACATATGAATTACTAGAATGACAACTGGAAATTTTTTCACACTAAGCCTTTGAATGAGAAAGTCACATGCAGACTCACTCTGAATCAATTAGGCCTTTTCTCTCTCAAATACACTGACTCTGACTGTGTCTCAGTACAACTCTGATTCTGTTAAAACACAGCCCAGAAGCATAAACAACTAATCTAGAAAGGGACTGAGCAGATCTCTTTGCTCTTTAAAGTGCACTGAAAGAAAGTAGATAAAAAGTAGAATATCAGACAATCCGCTTTGTACTATGAGGGAGGGGGAAAGAGTTTGAAAATCATATAGTGCTAAAGATAGTGGACTATCCACAGCAAATCATGATTACAGATATCTGATCCAAGGAGAAATGTGAGTGTAGAGAAAGAGAAAGGAAGGAGAAGAAGAGAAACTGAATAAGAAATAAAATGATTGCTTTGGGGGAGAAGGGGAAGGCATAGGCATAGAAGCTGGAAATTAATGGAAGAAGAAAAATAAGAGATGCTAATCTTGGTATTACAAAGGGAGAGCTGACAGAAGTCAGGGATCAAAAAGCCCAGCAACAAAGAATGAAAGGGAAGGGGGTGATCTTGGTACGTGAAGAAAAAGAAGCTTTAGATAAAAGTATGATGCTAAGAAATTTAAAATTCACAGCAGTGATAGTGTTGTTTGGAAAATGATTTTACAAATCTAAACTACTGTTTATCTGGGGGTTGCAAATATGGTTATGTCTAGGTTCTTGTGGGTTTTTTCGGGCTATAGAGCCATGTTCTAGAGGCATTTCTCCGACGTTTTGCCTGCATCTATGGCAAGCATCCTCAGAGGTAGTGAGGATGCTACCTCTGAGGATGCTTGCCATAGATGCAGGCGAAACGTCGGAGAAATGCCTCTAGAACATGGCTCTATAGCCCGAAAAAACCCACAAGAACCTAGTGATTCCAGCCATGAAAGCCTTCGACAATACATGGTTATGTCTACTGAACCTCTGTTTCCAGCCATATGAGCAAAGAACATGCATTTGGGGGAAATGGAAGCAAGGCAATGAAGTACCATATACCCTAGATATCATGCAAAACAAATTGGAAGGAAAGAATGTCCTGTTGCAGGGGGAAGTTCCAGAAAATATGCAATTACAATCGGAATGGCTATGGTGTACTATTTTTGGATCATTGGATTTTAATATTTATACTTGGATTTTTTTAATGCTTGTCACAATGTTTAAATGTTGTTTATGTCTTATGTTTAATGGTTTTAATGATTTTAACTTATAGTTCTATATTATTGTTTAGTTATTATGATTTTTTCTTTCTACATGAATGTCAGCATTAAACCTTTGCCATTAATATGTTGTAAACCACCTTGAACCCCCCCCCCCCCCCCCCGGGGTTAGAAAGGTAGTATATAAATATAGTAATTAAATAAATAAAAAGAATAGCTAAATTTTAGAGATGGGTTTTTAAACAGAATCTGGATGTTCATCTGCCAGGATGTGCTTTGAATGTGTGTTCCAACATGGCATGGGATTGGATGTGATGGCCCTTGGGATCACTCCCAATCCTTCAATTCTGTGATAGGCATCCAACAAATCTAGACAGCACCAGGTTGAGGAAGCTTAAGAGAAAGAGACAGAAGAAGAACACACAAAAGGATTTTGCACTTCTCTCTGTTTTACTGCCTTATTCATAATAAGCAACTCTTAAAAGAAAGCCAATGCCATTTGAAGCAAAATGCTGAAATGAAATGAAGTGCAACTAAAAGCTTATGACAAGTGCCACAGATGGATGGGAAAGAGAGGATAAATGAGGGAAAGAAAAATAGCTCAAGCACCAGACGTATTTGCAGCTTGAGCAATGGATGTGTGATCACAACTAACCAGATGACCGCAGAGAGAAATGATCAAGAGAGTTTGTGGAGAGATTAGAGGTCAACTTTGCTCCAGGGTCAGCTCAAAAGCGACCATTAAATGATAAATGCTCTGAGCTTTGAGACACTGAATCTGCAAAAGGCGACAAACCAGAAAAACAATGAAATAGGTACAACATTTCATCAATCACTGGGAGTGCAGCCAAGTGAGAGCAATAGTCAGGGAAGGAATTGTCTCATATTGGAGTCCTTAAACTGGCCTGGAATAGAAGAACAGGGAATGGCATCCTCCCAGGGGGTAGAAACCTTTTCAAGATAAATACAGCCAAGGGGTGAAAGCCAGCATGATCTTATGGGTTTTAACTCTGAACTAGGGACACCATTGCACGAACCCACAGTTCCAATGCAATTGTGCTCTCATTGTGACTGGACACATTCAGGGTTGAGCACCTTCAATATAGCACCTCTCTTCCATCTAATAATGGTGGTCCTAAAATTGTATATCCACACACCCTTGTAAACCTGCCTTCCTGCACTACTGCTCTTCCTTAGTATTTTTATTTCTATTTCTGAACAATTTTGCAATCCCAGTTTTGAAATAAAAAATAAACAGGCAAATACAACTATAAAATATAAAATAAACAGAAAACACAGCTTTGGAATAGTGAGCAGGAGGAGAAAGAAGGGGAATCTTTCCCCCGACACCACTTTATTGCCATCATGCCAGCACAGAAGCAGAAGAGACCCATTACACCAACAGGAATGTTGACGGACTAGGGCTAGTGATGAAACTGGGATTGGGTTGTACCCATCAATAGTGAGCGACAGGAAAATCACGAGAAGGAGGAATATTGGCAGCAAGATGCACGGCGCTGTACAATATTGGTCGCCAGCAAAAAGTGTCCAGCTGCAATGTTGGTTTGCCAGCCCCATGCAAAAAAGCCCTGAAACTCTGGAAAGCAGAGCTTGAATCTCCGCTTGGCCAGTGAAACCCACTGGAGGACCTTGGGCAAGTCACATTCTCTTAGTCTCAGATGGAGACAAAAACAAACCTCCTCTGAACAATTCTCAACAAGAAAACCTCATGACATGTCCACCTTAGGGTCACTGTAAGCTGTAAACAACTTGAAGGCACACAACAAACAACAACAACAACAACAACAACAACAACAACAACAACAACAACAGTAGTCATGGGCTTCAAGAAAGAACCGGAATGAAGTCGCAGAAAGCTCCCTTCCTTAGGAAGATTATTTGGACTCCATGAAATTGAGGGAGGGGACTTTCTCTAAAAGAAAAGTTGACTTGAGAGAACAATTTATATCTGTGATAATTTTGGGACATATAGGGTTTTTTTTTAAGAAAGAGCTTTAAAAAATGTGCTGTGGTGATTTAATTGCTTTTTAGACTGCTTTTTCATACCTAAGTTATATGTTTTAAATTGTTATTGGTGCTGTTAATGGTTAAATTCAGTTTTAGTGTTGTTGGTTTTTTTAAATTTCATTTTAAAACTATGCAGTACTAATTTTAATGCGTAAGATGCCTTTGAGTCTCAGTTTTGGGGAAAGGTGGGGTATAAACAAAGACTGACAGAAACAAATCTAATAATTATAATATACAGCAACAATCTGTCTTCAAGTTAACTATAGCAACACTGAGGTGTAGGTGCACACACACACACATTGTACCCATGATAAAGATCCATGCATTTTTTCACACATGATCTGTTCTAAAGCTCCAGCGATCTCTTCTGTGCTCGCTTCCCAGGTTTTGGTTGAATTGCTCTGGTAAAGCCTCAATACATTAAAAAAAAAACAGACAGACACTCCTAGTTATTGGCCCTCGGTTCCCAGATCTCTAACTTGTGTTTGCTCCAGAGCTAAAATGTTTATGGTACAGAAAGTGTTTCACTGTGAACAGTTATAAAAATAATAAAAGTGGAATCGGGAGAGAACGTGTGAGAGCATCTGGAACATTATATATATATATATATATATATATATATATATATATATATATATATATATATAACATTAAACATCCCCATACACTGTGACAGACATCAATATTTAAAATATATAACTCAGTGGTACCATGTGTCACAGCTGTGTGCCAATTAAGCTGAAATGCAGCCTGAAGTATATAGCCTCTTGCTCTACTCTTCCTTTGTCCCTGTCACAACTCTTGTCTACTCATTTCTTTCTATACCAGATTTGTTTCAAGTATTTTGGACTGTAGTAGAAGCAATACAGCTCTGGTCTGCCTATGGCACCACTGACATTATGGGCATATGAAAATATGTGAAATAAAAAAGCCACATATGAAGCATTGAAGCTTCATTGAAGCTCATTGAAGCATTCTGCTTCAATGTTACTTGCCCAAATAATGTCATGATTCACATGCCAAAAACAAAACTATAGTGAACACCCATTTCAATTCCCTTCAATCCTATTCAGAGCCAACTGCAGACAAATTTCTAAAACTATGCTCTTCACAATCCCATATCCTACACCTTCCCCAGCACTTGGAATGGCATGAAATTTCTGTTTTCTGATCCCGGACTGCCATCCTCTGGAGAAAGCATGCGTTGCTGCTTCAAAAGTCTAGCAAGCAGTCAGAGAAACAAAAGCAAGCACAGTGCTTTGTGAGACTGCAAACACTGCAACAGAACAATAGATATTTAGCTTGATTACAAAGTAAGATTTACAGATCTTTAGCATGTCACATTCACACCCATACATACATATGGTGGAAGCTCCTTTGAAGGTTTTTAAACAGAAGCTGAATGGCCATCTGTCAGGGATACTTTTATGGTGCTTCTCCTGCATATCAAGGGGTTGGACTAGATGGCTCATGTGGTCTCTTCCAAATCTATTATTCTATTATTCAATATCTTGTGAAGCTTCCACAAAAATTAAAAGTAGACTGCAAGCCACTCTGAACCTCTTCACACTCCAGTCCTGCTATCTTTGCAGCTGACAAATTGACTGAGCTTGTGTTGTGATGCATTTTAAAGCAGTGGTTTCTTCTATGTTGAAGCAAAGAAAACATAACAAAATTCAGAAAAGTGAACAGAAGACAATATGCATGGAAGAAAGTAGATTATTTGGGGAAAGTGAGTTTTTCCATCAAGTAATTACCTGAGATCAGCACCAGGAGAAGGTCCTCTGTGGTTAGGCCCTCAGCCAAATCCCGGATGGCACTAGCTGCCTTCAGAGCATCTCTATCAGGAAGGTTGTGCTTAGCTCCTTCCATAACCAGGATGCGGCTCTGGGGCTTCAGCAACATCTCTCTACACAATAAAAAAGAGAAGGTTACTTTCTCAACCATGCGGATCCATATAAAGATGCATCTACATATAAAGATTCACAGGACAACAAGTTGTAATTTGGCTCCCTTCTAACTACTTAATGAGAAGAAATATGATCCAATCACTGGGGGTGATCAGACACAATGAGGGGCCACATGAATATCATATCACTTATGAATGACAGCATGGTCCATTTCTAGTTGGAGAAGGCCAAAAGCATTCACACCAGATTTAGGACATGTGCTCATAATTAAAATAAAACAATCCATAACCATTCTGTCTACAGGCTGACAAGGTTTCAGGGCACTTCAGCCAAACCATGCTGCTATTTTGGATCCATCAAGGCTCACTGTTCCCTGGCAGACCTGTGCTCTGTGAATCTTATGTAGCAAGATTGCAAACTATCCAGAACCTCTTCTTGCCTATTAAAACCAGACAAAGGCTGAAACACATTTGCAGGTGGTTACATCACTCCACAGTAGACTGTATAAGAAATGTGCCTTTAAAATAATATTCTTGACCTAAAGTATGAAAATAGGACTTTTCTCCAAAAAACTTAAAATTTGCAACTTGCATTTGCCACTTCCAACTGCTTATACAATTATCACTAAAAACAGTGGTTCACATAGCAGATACTTTGAGTGGAAAAGACTGGCTTCCACAACACAAGAATAAGAATGAGAATTTAGTTACATCAAATTGAAAAATATGTTTATGGGAGACACCTGAGAATGCCTCCGGGCCTATTTTTGTATGTAGTCACCCTATAAGAAGGCCTACTGCTTCCTTACCTCATTCCTCGGTGCTGCAGAGTTTCTTGGATGCCACGTGGAACACTAATCACTCCTCGAACAAGGTGGTCTCCAAGGATGTCCTCTGCTGCAGCTGCCATGCCCAGTACAGCCTTCCCAAAGCCAACCAAATACAGGTTCCTCCTCAGTTCGAAAGACTGATCACGCAACAGTAATCTGGGACAACTACTTTTTGTGTCTAGCACCAAGGCTCTTTTCAGCATGGGCCCTGGGAGGACAGTTCCAATAGCACTGCGGAAGAAATGCAGCCCATGTTCCCTGAGTGTCATATTTAGAGATGTCCCACTGGTAGGGTGAGAAGGGGACCACAAGCAGACTGTGCCAACTAAAGGTAAGCCCCTGAAACGTGAGGCCACAGCCTGAGTCATTAGCCAGTCTCTGCATGCAACCTGTGACAAAGAATGGGCAAAATTAGTATTGTGAACTAAATGCTGGGGTAAAAAAGAGACACATATAAGGGTTTTCTTCAATCCCACTGTGCCTGCTTTACTGAAAACCTTGTTTGCAACCCAGTTTTCTCACCCGTCTCCAACAATGCTCACTGATGTCCTGGAAAAGTCCAAAGGTCTTCTTATCCAGATGATCAGATGAATCAAATGAGGATGTTAATGATCTACAGACTGAAACTGCCTTGGAAATCACTTGCCTTCCACAACAGAGCTAGACAAAATGAGAAATCTCAGGTTAGGCAAAATAATTTTCAGAAACATGCTGTATGTCAAACTGCTCCTCACCCCAAGTTATAAAAGCAGAGAACATGATTCTGATATTGGATTGTGGGACAGCAAGGATCCCAAACCACAAATTTATCTTAGGCCAAGATTAAAAAATAAGAAGTCCGTGTAATTTGCTTGAAGGTTGAAAGGAGAAGCAAAATTGTCAACAAAGGACTGAATTGCTCTAGTGCAGATTCCATTCCATCAGTTTTCCTACTATGACCTACCTCTGTCCATAGGTGCAGCAAGTTCCACAACCCAATACTGTGACACTTCTGAGTGAAACTACCATTGTACTTCAAATTGCTTCAGATTAATGGAAACTCTAAGGCAACAAATCAATGGGTTTTCTTAGCAAGATTTGTTCAGAGGTTTGCCTTTACCTTCCTCTGAAGCTGAGAGAAGGTTACTTGCTCAAGCTCACTCAGTGAGTTTCCATGGTCACATGGGGGTTTAAACCCAGATCTCCAGAGTTATAGTTATACATTAAGAGAGTTTTTTTCCCCAACCTGATGCCCTCCATGCATGTCGGGACTAAAATATCCATCATCCCTAAGCATTACAGCCAGGGACAGAAGGAAGCCTGAAAGCATTCTTTGTAGAGTTTTGTGTCACCTTTACAGCATCGATTCTCAAAGTGTGCAAAGCATCCTGGGGGCTACATGCTTTCCTCCTCCTCCTCCTCCCACCTCCACCTCTTCCTTCCTCTCCCTTGCTCTAGTCCAGCCTGACCATTGCATGCACACGTACAACCCAACCCTCCCTCTTAGCTTGCCTGCTTTTGCAAAAGGATTGTCCCTCCACAGCCACTGGCAGAGTCTAACACCCTCTTCTTTCCTTCTCACTCTCTGTTATTTGTCTCAAGGCGGTGACCCTCCTCTTCCTCCCTCCTCCACCTCCAAGATTTCCCTTTCTTTCCTGCTCCCCCCCCCCCCCCCCCCCCACCTCCAAAGGCCTTTTTCCCCTCAGTCCTTGCCACCAAAAGCCTTTCCCCCTCCTCCCTTGCCGCAAAACCCTTTTTACCTTGCCTTCCTTGCTTCCAAAACCCTACTTCCCTCCCACCACTCAGGGTGTGCTTTGATTGTGCTTTTCCTGAATGGCAGAAGGGGGTTGGACTGGATGGGTCCTGGGCTAAATCAGTTAAGAAAAGTTGCTCTTATAGCAGAGCTTTCTAAACTGTGTGTCACAACACGTTAGCGTGCTGGCGGCCCTGTGTCCATCAATTTACAAGGATGCGGGTATGTGTGTGTGTACCTTCAGTAGTATTGCAGAGCAGCGTCTATATTTCCTCGGTTGTCTATCGCCTTTCCTTCAGAACAAAAATATAATTCCTAGCAATTCAAATTCTTTGTAAACTATACACTGAATTCATTTTGGAGTGTCTATATGGATTAGAAGAAATGCCTCTTTTGGCAATAACTATGGCCACCCAAGAAACAAGTTAAGTTATCTTGTTTTTCTATTTGTTCATTTTAAACTCTGAAGGCATTGTTTAGAAAGTGGTCCAGAAGCCCTCATTAATCTTTGCAGAGATCTGCTGAGAATTGCTTTTGCTGTGGCAGGATTGCTCAGGGACTGTGAAGGGCTTAGATTAATCTCCTTTAAATGAAAACTTCATAAGCTGCCATTAATGAATACTGGTCCTAATCTGCATATTAATTTCAATAAATCATCATGATATGTTCTTCTGAAGGTTTGTGGTGACTTTGGCTCGTGCTCCAATATACGAGAATGAAGATGGTTCCTAATTCCTAGCTAAATCCACTTGATGTAGAATAAAAAGGCATTTAAAATAACTATGAATCAGCACATAAGCATTATCTACATTACGATGTACAGAATGTAATATTAACCAACAGTATTCAATGTACCTGTATTAGGAGATTTAAATAATCCATTAAGAACAGGCTTTTAGTCATCTACAAAAGCAGATTTGGGAACACCAGCATAGTTGATTTTTTAAAATATCTCTTCTTCATTTCCTTTGGTTTACATTACTAAAAATGCATTTAGTAAAGGTAAAGGTTATCCCCTGACATTAAGTCCAGTCGTGTCCAACTCTGGGGGATGGTGCTCATCTCCATTTCTAAGCTGAAGAGCCGACGTTGTCCATAGATGCCCCCAAGGTCATGTGGCCGGCATGACTGCATGGAGCACCGTTACCTTCCCGCCTGAGGGGTACCTATTTATCTACTCACATTTGCATGTTTTCCAACTGCTAGGTTGGCAGAAGCTGGGGCTGACAGTGGAAGCTCACACCACTCCCCGGATTAGAACCTGCGACCTTTCAGTCAACAAGTTTAGCAGCCCAGCGGTTTAACCCAGTGCGCCATCGGCAGTGAGTTTTATGATTTAAAGGGAATGCCTTTAAATCATACTGAATTCCTGGCACGTTTGATTTCCTGAGAGGGTGAACTGATGGGCAGTGAAGTGCCAGGTGTCTTTGGGACTGGTAGGGAATCTTTTTCTATGTAAACACTGAACATTTTGGTCAGAGTTGATGGCTATGGATAGAATCAGGGCTCAAAATGCCAACATTCAGTGTCTCACATTATCAACACTTTCTTGGTTTTCCCAGTCTTGCCAGTCCCACTTTTACATTCCCTGGTAGGTGTGGGAATTGTCGTATTTACCTTTAGTTGAATGCAGTCTTCTATGTAGTGTGTGGCTTGTGTTTGCTTCTGATGCTGTTTTATTTTTATTGTATGTAAATGCAGATTTCATAGAATAAAAGGATATGAAAGACAAATTGAACTGAAATGTCTGAAATGGCAGGAAACCTCTTTAGTTTGTCACTTCATTAGGAATGGGCAAAACCCAATAAAAATAGGAGACTATTCACATTAGCCGAATAAAAAACATTATTTTATATCTTCTAGTCCAGTGTTTCTCAACCTGGGGGCTGGGACCCCTGGGGGGGGGATCATGAGGGGTGTCAGAGAGGTCGCCAAAGACCATCAGAAAACACAGTATTTTCTGTTGGTCATGGGGGCTCTGTGTGGGAAGTTTGGCCTAATTCTATTGTTAGTGGGTTCAGAATGCTCTTTGACTGTAGGTGAACTATAAATCTCAGCAACTACAACTCCCAAATGTCAAGGCCTATTTTCCTCAAACGCCACCAGTGTTCACATTTGGGCATATTGAGTATTTGTGCCAAGTTTGGTCCAGATCCATCATTGTTTGAGTCCACAGTGCTCTCTGGATGTAGGTGAACTACAACTCCAAAACTCAAGGTCAATGCCCACCAAACACTTCCAGTATTTTCTGTTGGTCTTTTATTTATTATTTATTTATTTACTCTATTTGTATACCGCATATATCAGCCTGAGGCGGCGACTCAATGCGGTTTACAATAAAAAGCAACACTAAACAATGTATGAGACACACAATACAGACAAACACATAATCATCAACGCCACACTTAGAATCAGATTTCGATCTCAAGATCCTTTTTCCATTCCTTGTCCGATGCCGTCATTATTGAGTTAGTTGTTACTACATGGTTATCCGAAAGCCTGCTCGTAGAGCCACGTCTTCACCCTCCTCCGAAACACCAGTAACGAAGGGGCCTGCCTGATGTCCACCGGTAACGCATTCCATAGCCGAGGGGCCACCACCGAGAAGGCCCTGTCTCTCGTGCCCGCCAGCCGCACTTGTGACGCCGGCGGAACCGAGAGCAGGGCCTCCCCGGAAGATCTTAACGCTCTTCCCGGTTCGTAGGAGGAGATGCGTTCGGAGAGGTAAGTGGGGCCGGAACCGTGTAGGGCTTTATAGGCTAAAGCCAGCACCTTAAATTGTGCCCGGTAGCGAATTGGCAGCCAGTGGAGCTGGTTCAGCAGGGGGGTGGTGTGCTCCCTGAGAGCCGCTCCCGTTAGCAACCTGGCTGCCGAGCGCTGGACCATCTGAAGCTTCCGGGCAGTCTTCAAGGGCAACCCCACGTAGAGCGCGTTGCAGTAGTCTATACGGGATGTGACAAGAGCGTGGACTACCGTAGCCAAGTCCGACCTCCCAAGATACGGGCGCAGCTGGCGCACGAGCCGAAGCTGTGCAAATGCTCCTCTGGAAACCGCCGAGACTTGGGGTTCCAAGCTTAGCGAAGAATCCAGAGTCACACCCAAGTCATGGGAGTTCTGTGAGCCAAGTTTGGTTCAATTCCATCATTGGTGGAGTTCAGAATGCTTTTTGATTGCAAGTTAACTATAAATCCCAGCAACTACAATTCCCAAATGACAAAAGCAATCCCCCCAACCCCACCAGTATTCAAATTTGGATGTGTTGGGTATTTGTACCATATTTGGTCCAGTAAATTAAAATATATATTGCATATCAAATATTCACATTACAATTCATAACTCTAGCAAAATTAAAGTTCTGAAGTAACAATGAAAATAATTTTATGGTTGGGGGTCACCACAACCTGAAGAACTGTATTAAGGGGTCGCAGCATTAGGAAGGTTGAGGAACACTGTTCTAGTCTTCAATCGTAACAAGCCAATATAAAACATTCATTTCCATACAAAAAAGGAAAAAAGGGATAACAAGATCAGGAATTGCACATCTTTCTGTTACAGGGATTTTAGAAATAATTTTGGGGAAGTAAATATATGGACACCTTATTTCTAATATTTTATTCATCACTCTAAAAAATCAATATTCTAAGGTTTTACATTATTTTTTCTATGGAAAAAATAGTCACTAATGTCAGAGAGGTAATCTTTGAAGAAAAGAACCTGTAGAAAAACTTCAACAAGAAACAGTTAAACAAAAAAATCATCAAGAAGTAACTATTCTCTATGGCTTGAATACAGAGAAAAGCTTTGCATTTCAATATATGCATTAAACAATTTACCTATGCAGTAATGCATTTATTTCTGTTGTTTGTAAATGGATGCTGATTATACAGGTTTCACTCTGTACTTTTCACATTACCATTCCAATAGCCCTACTGATTACATCCCCCACCCACTAAGATTCGAGACATCAAACTATATCTGTCAACTTAAATGTGGCTTTTTTTAGTTGCTGAGAAGGCTACTGACTGTTTAATTTTTCCCATTGGCAAAGTTTTTTTTAAAAAAAATCAAATGATGAATAATTGCAAATGCTTAATGGCACATAATTATATTTTGGAGTTTTAAGTGAACGGTAAGGCACATAAAGATTTAAGCAGTTCCATGATTAGTGTGATATCAAAAACAAAACTATGTGATTTTGATAAAAAAAAAATTCTAAAAGATTTTTTTTTCTAACAGAAGAAAGGTTCATGATTATATTAATTACTCAAGGGAAATGATTATTTACAGAAAAAGTTGCAAAACTGGGTTGTTGTTTTATAGGCTGGTATGGCCATGTGCTGGTAGCATTCTCTCCTAATATTTCTCCTGCACCTGTGGCTGGCATCTTCAGGGGTTCTGTTGGCAGTGAGGCAAGTGGAGTATATATACCTGTAGAATGTACAGGGTGGGAGAAAGACCCTTGTTTGTTTAAAAAAAGCGTGAATATTGTAATTACTAAGCTTGAATTAGCATTTGAGTAGCCTTGAAGTTTGCAGACAGTGTGGTTATGTGCATAGAGGTAACCTAGCCTTTGTTGTCTAGAGGCATCCTCTACTTGGGAGCTGTTAGATGGCCCTTGATGGCTTATTGTCTGGTGTTCGCCTGTTTCTGAGTGGTGTTCATTATTTACTATCTTCATTCTAGTGTTTTTTAATACTGGTAACCAGATATTGCTCATTTCCATGGTTTCTTCCTTTCTTTGAAATTGTCCATGTGCTTGCAGTTTTCAATGGCTTCACTGTGTAGTCTGAAATAATAGTTGTCCAGAATTTCTGTGTTCTCAAATAATATTCTGTGTCCAGGTTGGTTTATCACATGCTCTGCTATAGCTGACTTCTCTGGCTGAAAGCCTCCGACAATACAAAGTTGTAAAAGTAAACATTTCGTGTTAAATTTATTGAAATAATGTGGGCGTATCTAAAAAAAATAAAGTCAAAGGCATATCTAAGAAAGATATCAGTTAATGGTGATAATAAATGTGCAAAACATTCTTGATATAGTATGCATATTAAGGACTCCTTATTTGGGTTTTCATAAAGATTGACGTAGATTTAAGCAGTATATTTTGAGTATGGATAATTGAAGATATAATTCAGTCCTGTAACTCAGCAGACAGACAGGTTTTTGCTTCTGGGTGACTTCAACATACCACTGGAGGCCAGTTTGCCAGGTGCAACTCAGGGATTCATGGTATCCATGACAAACATGGCCTTGTCCCAATTGGTTTCTGAATCTACACCTTCGGCAGGTCATTCCCTTGATATGGTTTTCAGCTGGGAACATGTGAATCTGTGGTAGAGGTGATCAATACCACCAACTTGTCATGGACAGATCATTCTGGTCAAGGTTAGTGTCACAGCCACAACCTACTCCTGCAGGGGTGGAGGACCTATTAAAATCGTCCGCCCTCAAAGGCTAATGGATCCTTTGAGATTCCAGGAGGCCACAGAGGGTTCTGTGGCTGGCATCACCGACAATTCTGTTGAATCCCTGGTCAATAAATGGAATCAAAATCTAACCAGGGATATTGACACAATCACGCCCAAATGTCCTCTTCAAACAGTTGCAAATCAAGCTCCCAGGTATACAGAGACCCTCATGGAAATGAAGCAGGAAGGATGACTAGAGCACAGATGGTTGACAATTTGACTTTTATGTGACAAGCCAAGATACAGAGGCCTTCTTCGCTCCCATAAGGTGGCAATACATGCAACGAACAAAACTTTCTTCTCTGCATGTATTGTATCTGTGGCTTCACGTCTATCTGAGCTATTCAGAATAGTGAAAAGTTTAATTTATGTACCCTCCCCTCTGAATACTTTGCTATTATCTTCAGTACCTGTGATGCCTTTAATAACCATTTCGCAGAAAAAATCTGTCACATAAGAGCTGAGTTAGATGATGTCATCAAAGCAGAAGTCAAAAACGAGGCGTCCAGCAACTCTGTGAGTAGGATTGCACTGGTTCAGTTTCAATTAGTGAGTAATGTTGTTGTTCACCAGCTGCTGCGGCTAGGAAGGACAATCTGTTTTCTTGTTTCCTGTCCATCATGGCTGGTCATCCAGGGAGGAGATGCAATTAAATCTCAAATATTGATACATTGCCACCATTTAAAAGAAGTTGGGCCATTGCTGAAAAAGCCCTCTCTGGATTCTCTGGACCTTAATAACTACAGACCTTGCTTTTGGGGGCAAGGTGATTGAAAAGCCAGTCGTTCTCCAGCTCCAGGAAGTCCTGGATTACACAAATTTCATTAACAAATTAGCTTCAGAGAAGGATACAGAGTTGAGACTGCTATGTCACCTTAGTGGATGATCTCAGTCTTAACACTGACAAGTGGTGTGTGTCCCTGTACGTGTTTCTACACTTCTCAGTGGCTTTCGATACTATCATCCAGGGTATCCTCCTGGATTGGTCACAGGAACATTTAGGAGCCCGAAACCATCCACACTGGCCACTGCTGCTGCTCATCTCTATTTTGTCCCAGCTCTGAAACCCACCCACTCACTTCCGTATCCAGATTTTTTCTTGCCATAGTCTGTTGGTGGGAAAATAAATAAATCCATTGCCAGCTGGTCTAGAAGAGTGTTGGACTGAGGAAGGCTGGGGAGGGAAGGGAAAGGTGAAGGCACGGGGGAAGGAAGAAAAGGGAAGGAAGAGAAAGGTGGCACGTTCTATATGAGAAACTAGAGCTGATGTGGTCTATCCAATGCAATTTTCTGAATCAGCACCACAAATAACCAAACCGAATCTAAAGTTGACCAAAACCTGATTCTATACATGCTATATATGGTTATACATTAAAGTTTCTTGCTTTTGCTGATTTTGCTTCCTCAAATTGAGGATGAAAGTGAAAAGTCATATTGGTGAAAAGACTACGTCTCACTCCTTCCAGTATGGGAGGGGGGCTTCTTCTTTTACTCAATCCTTGGTTCACTTTGACCTACTAAGCCTGACCCCTTCGGTATTCTGCTGATTGCTCCAGTCCCTCTTCCTTGTTCTGCAGGTTTTTTCGTACTGTGTCTCTATCTTTGCGGACACTGTATCTGATCCTATATTTGCCACACACAAAAAAAGAAACTGTAGGTTTCTCTACTTATCTCACAGGGAAAAGGCCTCCCCAATATATGTTTAGGATTCTGGGCTTTTAGGCTTAAGCCTCCTTCACTAACAGCCTGTTAGGAATTGTGGGAGTTAAAGTCCAAAACACCCAGAGGGCTGAAGTTTGCCCATGCCTGGGTAGCCCAACAGAGATGGCACAGAGCAAACGTAGAGCCTTCTTTAGGCAAATCGGGCATCTCTTAATTCTGAGCAGCCTTTGGGAAAGCATTTTAAAAAACCTGGTTTACTCATGAATTTTAACTGGTTAACCAAATCCTCATGCTAAGTCTATGAGATGCAAAAAATTAAGAGTCCCTCCAGAACTGCAAGCACTATCTCAAGCAAATATTGACAATTTATTCACACTGTCATTACTTGCAGCAATAGCCTATGTAGTGAAGCAACTAAGTTGGCGGGGGTGTGTGTGTGTTGAATGCTCTCATTAAGGAGACCAGACTTGGTGGAGGTGGTTGACAGGGGCGGAGCTGCAGGCTATTGATGGCTGCTCTGCCCCCTGCTGTGCTCTTTGCTTCAGCGTGAGCTAAGAGGCAGGTTTCAAACACACACCCCCGCAAAATTTTAACCCCCCCCCCCCGAAAATTTCAACCCCTCCCGAATTTTTTTTCTGGCTACGGCTCTGATTGCCTGCCATTCCTATTCACACCAAACAAGGGCTGGAAGACCCTGGCACCAGAGGAATAGTTTTGAGCAGGGGTCCTCAAACTAAGCCCAGAGGGCCGGATACAGCCCTCGAAGGTCATTCATTATTATTTTATTATTAACTTTATTTGTACCCTGCTAGCATCTCCCGAAGGACTCGATGCGGCTTACAAAGGCCAAGGCCTCAATACACAACATAATAATACAAACCTAAAGCAAATTAAAAACAATTAAAGCAATATTAAACAACAAAACAACAAGCACTAAACAATACACCAAAACACAATAAAACTGGGCCGGGCCAGAGTAAAGGGTACAGAATTAAAAGTGCTGATGTGACAGGTGATATGTAAGGATTATAGGGTAAGTGCAGTGTGCGGCAATCTTAGTTCTAATAAAGTGCTTCTGGGACTTGGTATTGGAGATTTACCCAGCCCTCGCTCAGGGTCAACCTAAGTCTGAAACGACTTGAAAGCACACAACAGCAATCCTATTTCATCAGCCAAAAGCTGGCCCACACTTCCCATTGAAATACTAATAAATTTGTTTAAATTGTTCATTTTAATTATTGTATTGTTTTTAAGTGTTTTTGCACTACAAATATGTGCAGTGTGCATAGGAATTCATTCATGTTTTTATTTTTTCAAATTATAATCCGGCCCTCCCACAGTTTGAGGGACTGTGCCTTGGCCTTCTGTTTAAAATGTTTGAGGACCCTTGGTTTTGAGCCTCCTGCCTCCACTCTCCTTGATCCAAGCCACACAAATTGCTCCTGAACTTGGCCAAGCTAAGTTACTGCCCTTCAAGAGTCGTGGAGAACAGCAACCTTTTTCCCTTAACATTCAGAGTTGCTTCCTGGCTGCTCATGATGGGGATGGATTCCACAGGGGTCGCCATAATGTGACGCACGAAGGACGTGCAGCGGCGCGACCGTTAACAGCAGCGAGCAAGCGCGCGCTTCCCAGCACGAGGAGGCCCCGGATGAACAAAAGGCCAGCCGAGAGAGCGTGCGCGCGCGCGCCTTGTAATCCAACCCTCCCAGTCCCAGAGTGCACCGCGAATCTTTCGCTTCTCTCTCTCTCCTCACAAATCTCTTCGCCTGAGACTCACCCTCTCCTCCCGGCATGCACCGCGACGCCGCTTAGGTTCCTTTCTCCTCCTCGTTCCCCCCACAATTCCTTGCGCGCGTATCCCCTCCTCCTCCTCCCTCCCTCCCTTCCTTCCCCGGAGCCGCAAAATGGCGGACACAATGAACGGGAACCTCCGCCTCTTGTCTTTCTCCTTCGCCGCCGCCTCGGCTTGAGCGGAGGGCGCGGTGGGTGCGGCTTCCCGGGCTTCCGTCGCGGCCTCTTTGTGTCCCCCCGCGGGGCCAGGCTGGGCCCAGGCGCGCCGCTTCCAGGTTTTTCCCGGCCGGCCGCGCAGGCCCCGCCCTCCCCCTTTCCCTCCACCATGAAACTGGCGGACAACGCGCTGCGGAGCTTCCGCGTGGCCAAGGTGTTCCGCGAGAACTCGGACAAGATCAACTGCTTCGACTTCAGCCCCAACGGAGAGACGCTCATCTCCAGCAGCGACGACGACTCCATCGTGCTCTACGACTGCCACGAGGGCAAGTGAGTAACTGGTGGGAGGGCAAGAGAGGGAAAGGGGGGGGGCGCTCGCTCCCCCTCGCAGCCCTTCAGGGGAGACTGGCCCCATCCGCGGCTGGGAGGTGTTATTTGAAAACCGTGCAGAACAGCAGGCCTTGCCTTTTCCGGTATGTGCGAGGGGCATCGCTTTATTATGCCATTGCATATAGTGGGATTTGATCACCCCCGGATTTTGGTATCCACAGGGTAAATATAATGTAGGTAAAGGTAGTCCCCTGACATTAAGTCCAGTCATGTCTGACTCTGGGGTGTGGTGCTCATCTCCACTTCTAAGCTGAAGAGCCAGCGTTGTCCGTAGACACCTCCAAGGTCATGTGGCCAGCATGACTGCATGGAGCACCGTTACCTTCCCGCCGGAGCGGTACCTATTGATCAACTCACATTTGCATGTTTTCCAACTGCTAGGTTGGCAGAAGCTAAGGCTGACAGCGGAAGCTCCAAAATATAATGTAGTAACTATAATAATACATTTATTACCCGCCTCTCCTTGCAGCTCCAGGGTTAAAAGAAAGAATAATGATAATAATAATAATAATAATGGCACAAGCCAATAAAAGTGGTCCCAGCGGGTAAAGTGCCTAAAGACCTTGGCCTTAAAAACAATCGGTGCTGACAGAATTACCATCTGTCAGTTCGAAAAGGCCACCCTACTGCACGCATTATTCACTGATACATCGCACAGTCCTAATAATAATAATAAACTTTATTTCTATACCGCCCTATCTCCCTGAGGGGACTCAGGGCAGTTTACAACAGAAAATTGGCAAACAGTCAATGCCAGCATAACATTTATTTATTTATTTGGCAGTTTTGTATGCCGGTCTTCTCACCTCCGTTCAAGGGACTCAGGCCGGTTTCCAACATCAATATTACAGACAGTCATTAAAACATCATATTCTAAATCACACTAAAACATTAAAATAGCAAAATACGATCACATAATTACAGTGGTCAGTTGTCATCAAAAATCATTATTCATCGTCATCCATCCATATCACAGGATCATGGCTCATTTGTCGAATGCCAATACCCAAAGCCAAGTTTTCACCTGTTTCCTGAACGTTAAGATAGAAGGGGCAGTTCTGATCTCCAGTAGAAGGGAGTTCCAGAGTCGAGGGGCCACCACCGAGAAGACCCTGTCTCTCATCCCCACCAGCCGCGCCTGTGAGGCCGGTGGGATCGAGAGCAGGGCCCCTCCAGATGAACTTAACAGTCTTGATGGTTCATAGGGGAGGATACGTTCAGACAGGTAAATTGGGCCGGAGTCGTAACATAACAAACAAATCAAATCATAAACAATAAAATAAATAACATCAGGTGTACTTATAGAACAACTCAAAAATAACAAACCTGGACATTTAAATATATAAATCAAACATTTAGAACATGTTTACTACTAGATCTAATGATAGCAAACACTCAAAACATTAAAAGTAAAAAGGCATTTACAACCTAGACACTTGGGAAGTATCCAGCGTGTGATCCAATACAACAGCCAGCATAATCTTCTTGTTTGCTCTGTACTAATCCTGTTGTGTTTCAAATGATAATAATATACTGCAATATTGCTACTAATATTATATGTAATATATAATATACATTATTATATATTATTATATAGAAGCCCCCAGTGGCGCAATGGGTTAAACCCGTGTGCCGGCAGAACTGAAGACTGGCAGGTCGGAGGTTCGAATCCTTTTGAGAGCGCCGATCAGCTCCCTCTGTCAGCTCCAGCTCCCCATGTGAGGACATGAGAAAAGCCTTTCACGTGGATGACAAAACATAATAAAAAAAAAACCCAAACGTCCCCTAGACGGCCAATTCTCTCACACCAGAAGCGACTTGTAATTTCACTACCAGTATTAGTATTATATGATATATTGTACCATATTATAAATTGAATATTTACTGTAGTTCAAAGAAAAACAGTAAACTAGCTCTGTAAGTGGAAAAGTAAGGTCACCGAAAACAATATGGTGTCAACAATAACTTAATAATAATAATAATTATAACAACAACAGCAACAACTTTATTTGTATACTGCCCTAGCTCCCCGAAGGGACTCAGGGTGGTTTCCAACATATAAGACAAAACATTCAATTGCCAAGGAGAAAACCATACAAACAGATTAAAATAAAATAACCATAAAACACAAAAATCCTACTCAAACACAACAATAAAAATGTAAACCAATTGCAATTATAACTCCATCAGACAAGGTTCAATAAAACCAATGACTAGGACTACAAAATATGCATGGTCAACTATAAAAGGACAGGGCAAGCGATTATGCAAACCGAGTATCATAGGACCAGGGAAGTGGGGAAAATGCAGGACAGAATACTAACTGACGACCTAGGGACCTGGCCTGGGGACTAATCATTCTCGAAAACCTGCTGGAACATCCGGGTTTTCAGGTCCCTACAGAAGGAGCAGTGTGGGGGCTTGTCTAATCTCCCTGAGGAGGGTGTTCCAAAGTCGRGGGGGGGGGGCACCATCAAGAAGGCCCTCTCCCTTGTCCCCACCAACCGCACTTGTGATGGTGGCAGAAGCCAGAGGAGGGTCTCTCCGACAGATCTTAGAGTTCATTGGGGGAGATGCATAGAAAGATAGGGCCCAAACTGTTTAGGGATTTGTAGGTCATAACTTGAATCTTGAATTGGGACCAGAAACTTATTGGTAGCCAGCGGAGCTGCTTTAATAGGGGCATTCCTGTATTAAATATTATATACAATATACCAGCTCTATTACATTGCARTGTTGTTATTTCTATGTATTATATTGTATATATTGAGGGGCTCCCGAGTGATACTGCAGGAGATAGGATGGAGCTGTGTCTTCCTGGGTGCCCGCTCTTCACTCTGTAGCCTCAGAGCAGCAGTTRGTGTTGGGGGTAGGGGCTCCCAAGTGATGTTGCAGGAACCTGGCTTTGAACCATTTCAGCACACCAGAGGCTTAGGGGTGAAAAGGAGGGGGGGGGGTGATAATGACAGCAGCAGAGGTAATCCATTACCCCTCTCAGGAAGTCGCATGCTCCCCTGCTGCCCAGCTATGCCCTTAGGGCCTTTTTTTGCAGTATTCCAAATCCTTTACTGCTCTTCAGCAGAGTCAGGTGTCTACAATGCAGAGGGGATTTCACCTTGGATCTGGGATGCACAAGGTTCCGCCACGGTGCATTTGGGGCTGAACTCGGACTTTCCTGAGACGTTTAATGCATTGTATACCCTTGGATACATGTTGCAGTGCACATTGGTGATAAACCTTTTGTGGACATCGTGGCCTCGTTAGCTTCAAGGTGCATTCTATGGCCATTGTACAAGGGCCCTCAGAGGATGACAAGGAGAACCCCCCCTTTGAACAAATTTTGCCAAATAAACCCTGTGATTGGTAGTATTTATATTGGATATTGCTCTGGGTTTGTCATATCCTTCACTTGGAAATTAAAGAACATGTTGAGGATAAATACTGTAGCAAATGTATTTCCTGCTTCTGATAGTGAAACTAAATGAGATGACATAACTGTAAAAGTTGATGCAGAGGGATTTTGTAGCACCTTTGAGACTGAAAGGAAGGCATTGGTAGTATAAGATTTCCTAGGACTTCATCCCATGGCTTCTAGACTCTGTTTACATGAACTGTGGAAATGGAGCCCCACAAGAGTTCCATGGAGGCCATCGCATGACATTAAGGCAGTGTGGCTCCATGAGGCTGTTTCCACGGCGCATGGAAACTGAGCCTAGAAGCTGTCTTCACCTGACTTCAAATGGCAGACAGCAGGAGAAAGTGGGAGAAAGATGCGGTAACAAGAGAACTCCCTCTGGTTTCCCCTGCTTTCCTGCTGCTCATGGAATGAGGTTAAAAGTCTTATCAGATGCATAGAATGGTAGTGCTGAGGAGCAGACTTTTGGACCTATGAATGAGCAGGTTGTCCATGTGTGAACATGGTTGTCCATGTCTGAATAACAATAGAAATGCAAAACATGTGGATTTGGTGGTGAGGTGGCAAGTTCAGTTTTAACAAAGTTGGGAGGAAAGATATTACCTAAAGCCAAGGTAAGTTTATAATCATATGAATAGTGGAGGGAGTTCCTGGAATGTTGTGTGATGCTGGCTGGGAACTAGAAAGGAGATGTGATAAATTGGATGAGAGAGCCTTTAGCAGGCTGAGGTGTTAACTAGTTCTAAAGGGCATTGTTGATAGTGGCCAACTCCAGTGCATAAAGTACATTGTGCAAGGTTTTAAAAATGCACTTGGGATTTTGCTATATTTTGTTACATGAGTACCCTGGAATGCATTAATGTATTATTCATTGTGGGGAATGTGACATACCATGCAAAGAGAGAATTTTCCCCTTCTACTGTATTTCCTCCCATTAGTCGCCACCATGTAATAGTTGCACTCCCTTTTGAGGGGGTGGTAAAATTGGTATTTTATAGTCACACCCTTCATTTACTTCTCAGCGCACCTGCCTCCTTGGAACTATGGGAGTTCACTCTGCTGACAGCCGAGTCAAGTCCCATAGCTGGAAAGGGGGTGGGTGCATGGGCACAAAATTTAATGTGAGAGCCAGGTACGCCTCCATGTGCCATAAACCTGGGACATGTTGGGAAGTTACTTGCTGAAATAGCACAATCAGGTCTTAAGATTAAGGTACTGTGGGCATTCTAGGGTTGGTTAAGGTACTGTGGGTATTCTAGGGTTGTGTTCATAGAATAACAATTGAAAATAATTTGTAATCAGTGTACTCTACTACTTGTAACAAATTACCTATCTGTTGCAATCATGAAAGTAAAATTATGAATTTCATGAAGCTAAAATATGCAAAGTTATTGCATCGATAGTCTTTCTTCAGAACATATTGTCAGTGCCTACTTACATGTTCTGTTCTAATTGGAGATTGAAGAAGAGACTTGAGACCTTTACAATTATCGGCTTGGCTGCATTTGATTGAAGTGTGACTAGAATTAACAATTTACTTATATAGCAACAATATCAGCAGTGGCTGTTCCTAATGCTGCTGTGGTGAATCTTGTGTTCTCTTGGGCATTCTTGGTGTTTATCACGACTAATTTAAACATTACTGAAGTTCTATGTACTTTTTGAGAATATTCAAATATATATTTTTATTATTCATTTGGAAAAAAATTCTAGCCCCTCTGCTTTTTTTAATATTGTGAACTCTGATTTAAATGCCATTTGTTAATCTGGTAGAGTGCCTGTAATTCTGATAGGAAGCAATGAGAAAACAAGTTTTATAAAGAAAATTGGCTTCTTAAAGATGAAGTACATAGGCTTGTTAGCTTTTTAAAAGACTGATATGGCTGAGTACATTTTGTGTGAAATAAGAATAAACGTTCTTGTAATTTTTCTTGGCAGACCAAAGAGAACATTATACAGTAAAAAGTATGGAGTGGATCTCATCAGATACACACATGCTGCCAATACTGTGGTGTACAGTTCCAATAAAATTGATGGTAAGTGTTCTCTTCATTGTTCTCAGTTTCTTCTAGCTACAGCAGATCAAACTGAAGCATTGACTAAATGGAACAGTTTGTTAATTGCAACTTTTGAATAGTAAATACATATTTTCATGCTCTAAGGATCAAATTTCTAAAGTGTTATTTACAAAGAGCCTTTTCCTTGTTTTCAACTGAACAGTAAGTCAATGTGAAACATACCAGTGATTGATTGTCTCGTAACTTTGCCTCAAGCTAAATTTCCTGCCACCAGTCTCATCATAATGCATAGTTAAGGAAGCCTCCAAAGAAACCTGCTTTAGCATAGCAATTTCAGCTTCTCTATCTCTCAAAATGTTAGATAATTTTGAACAGATATGTGGGGGATACATCCAAGGACTTCTTGTAAATATGTGAAAATAGAGCATTTGCTAATCCCCAACTCCTACTTTGCCCCTTAGAGGGGAAATTAGCTGAGATTATTTTGCTTCTTTGACTGGAAAAGGAACAGTTTCCCCCCAAAGTAGTTCCTCTGCTTTGTTGCTCAGTAGAGGGAAGTGTGTCTGTCCTTTTCTCCACAGCCAGTGAAGCACATCTTGTGAATGCACATTCACAGAATAGCCTCAGACTAGCCTGGGTGGAGTGTGTGTATTGTGTAACAGCTTTGGCCCTTGGTAGGGAGCAAGTGGAAAGAGCGGCAATTTTCCCTGCTTCCCCAAGCATCTTGAAGACTGAGGATATTGTATGAAAGTGTGATCCAGGTATATAGGTATATAAACCCCATTTGGGGTTGGGACCTATAATTTAAGAAGCACTGCTCTAGACCCTGACCTACAACTCTGATTATGTCTTTTCTTAACCTTTATGGATAATTCTAAATGAATTCCATACACAATATACAATTTCTTCCATTGAACCTCTTTGAAAGTGAACGTGAGGATGAAGAGGACCATTGTATTCTCCCCCCCCCCCAAATGTAAGAGCACAGAGAAGCTAGTATCCTTTTATACGTATCTGTCTGAAATCAGTAATTGCAGTTTAATTGAACTCAGTTTTTGAATGCCCCAATTTCTATGGGCATGGGCAACAACATGCCCTGGGTAGCTGACTCTTTTCCCTCTTCTCTCCCCTCCCAAGAATGTTACAGTCCTGTCCTCAAGTTTGGGGATGATGTTGAATTATCACTGCCTGTTGTGTGCCCACCTTCTGAACAGCTCCCTAGTCACCTCCTAAGAAGAGGACTGGCATATGAATGTTCACATGACAAGGGGGGGAGGGGGCAGTGGTACAAGCTCGTGAATGATCAAAACCATGAGTGTGAAACCTGTGAATATGCCAATTATATATGCAAACAAGTTATTTCAAAATCCAGAAAAGCACTTTTTGTCCCAAGATTTTCAGATAAGGGACATTCAGCCTGTAGTAACCTCATCATAGTAAGTTAAATGTCTATGAAAAATGTCAGATATTTGTTTTGAAAATTGTCATATAAATAACAAATTGTTATATTCTTTGGAGCAATCCATGGCACAGTGCAGTATAACATCTACAGTAAAGATGGCTGTAAACAAGTTACCTGTGGAAGAGATGGAGACAGATGAATCATTATTCCTTTTTTTCTGCAGGATACTTGCCATGAGTGCTGTGTATGAATTTATATTTTAGGGTTTCGTAATTACTGTTAAATTCAGCTCCAGTGAGGTCTTCCTTGATGAAGGATTCTACAACTTTCAAGCCTGCGTCGTCCTACCACATGTTGCCTGATTCCGGGTTGAGGTAGTAGTTTGTACAGTTTGAGGGTCTATGATACCACCCGGTACAGGAGATAACTGTACAGGCCACTGCCTTGCCTGGGGCAGAGCTTCAACTACTGAATGGACCTTCCTATCGTCATTTGTTTTGTGGCCACTAACTGTTGCCACTTAAAGAGATCAGCAGTTCTTCTGAGACTTCTGTTCTTGTGTCTTATGTAACAGATTTTGGAACTGAACTGTCAATTATAATTTGTTTAGTAGAGAGTTGCCTCTTTAACAGGTCGTTCTGCAGCCCTCTGTTTGACTATATCGACTAATCGTTCTGTGGATGCATTGGGAAAGCTTATAGATTATTTTGATAAAATTGAAAACCTGCAATATGTATAAACATTTGGTCCAAAGCTAACCTTTCTTGGGTAAGAATTTTTCTTTGACCTCTCTAGCCCTTCATCTCCTCAACTTGGCAGCTTTCAGATGTGTTGGCTTTCAGCTCTCATCCTCATTGTGCTACCTAGGTGTCTAGCATACCTGGAGCCCTCCAGTTTGAGGATAATTGCATTATAGAAAAGTACACTTTAATTCACCGAACAAGTTTGACCTTTATAACCTTTATAAATATACCGGATTAGAAGAAGAGCGAAGGAGAAGGAAAAGAAGAGCGCCCCTGAGCACTTGCAACCGGTGGCGACAGCGCAGCAGCAGCAACTCCCTCATCCTCTGCTTCTTCCTCCTCCTCTTCCTCAGAAGCCCCTTGAGCGCAGTTAACGCCAGTGCCAATGGGGCCTCCAAGGAAGAGGAGGAGGAAGAGATGGAGGACGAGGGAGTTGCTGCTCCTTCTCCTTCGCTCTTCTAATCTGACCTGGGCATCCAGCCTGGCCTTCCCAAGGGGCCTCCAAGGAAGAGGAGGAGGAAGAGGCGGAGGAGGAGGAGAGCGAAGGAGAAGAACTTGCAGCAGGTGGTGACCGCAACAGCAGCAACTCTCTCCTCCTCCTCTTCCTCGGACGCCCCTTGGCACCGTTGTAAGGAAGCCCAAGCCCTATGTAGGGCCTGGGCTTCCCTACATCGCAGATTTTTACGTATCATGGGTGGTCCAGGAATGTAACCCCCGTGATAAGTGAGGGAACACTGTATTACGCAAAGAGCTCTGCTGAATATACTAGTTAAGAAATGCAATGACAAACAGTTACTGTTTAATCTTGATTTCTCTGAGCATTTATATCTACAAGTGCTGTCAATTTCTTTTTTTCTGGTTTGTTTTTTTCAAATGAAAGGTCATTACCAGAGTGTTTATAGCTTGTCAGTGTGCATGTTAAGCTAGATCCAGTGTACACTCTGATGAAGATAATATGGCTGCTACTGTCTTGAGTTGGAGAAATGATTAATTTGTTAAGTGAATGTACTACTGGAAGATGGTCAGTGTGTAACCCCAATTATAAATATATTAATAATTCTTATTAATATATTAATAATAAGTTAGCAAGTTCTCACTACAAGTGCAAACTTGCTAACTAATTATTCGAGTTAGCAAGTTCTCACTACAACGAAGTGATACAAGGTTGCTGTATAATGTTTACTTTGTTGATATTTATTTACAGATACAATCAGATACCTTTCTCTGCATGACAATAAGTACATCAGATACTTCCCAGGACACAACAAGAGGTAAAATGATTGATATACCATTTATTATCTTTGGGTGGAAACAGGAAGAATAAATCAAAGTGTTGATTGACAAGCTTACATTACAACATGTAGTGTCAGATCTTTGTTTTTTTACTTAAAAATGTCATGTTCTTTTGAATTTATGAGAACAAAACAGTAAATGCAGCTATTTGGGCTATTTTATTTTTTATTTCTTCACTTCAGAGTTGTTGCTCTGTCTATGTCTCCTGTGGATGATACCTTTATTTCTGGGTCACTTGATAAGACCATCCGACTTTGGGATCTCCGGTCTCCAAACTGCCAGGTAAACTATTGAGAGACACACACAAAATGTGCTAGAGCACTGCTTCAAATATGGAAAGATCACACTTGTAGTCATTGGTTCCATTAAAATGTGGTTTAAAAAATCCACCGAAGAAACATGTAGAATAATTTCTTCTAACATGTTTCCAAATTCTAGGGTTTGATGCATCCTCAAGGGAAGCCTGTGTGCTCGTTTGATCCAGAAGGGCTTATTTTTGCAGCTGGAGTGAATTCTGAAATGGTGAAACTTTATGATCTTCGCTCTTTTGATAAGGTATGTAATGTTTAGGCAAAATTTGAGCTACATAGATTCCCCAAACAGAATTTTAAAAATGTAATGCCTTTTTTCCCCAAGTAGAATTTCTGTGTCCCACAAAACCGTTGTGCTCATGATGTCTTAAGACACGGCTAATTTTATTTAATGATTATGGATTTGACCTCTTGGTTAAGAAAATGAAAGTACTTAACAGGGTCATGCAAGGCCCACCTGGTCTTTCATTCTTTGCACAAATCCCAAAAGGCTATAGGCAGTAGCTGGTTTGCTAATATCTCCATGTGTACGCCCTGTATCTATGGTTTAAACAAGTTCCTGGGAAAATCTTAGACATTCAAAATGTATTTTTTCAGCCTCATTCCAGTGTTCATAAACAGAAGGACTAGACTGTTTCTGTTACTTTTCTTCTTGAAGGGTCCATTTACTACTTTCAAAATGCAATATGACCGAACCTGCGAGTGGACTGGATTGAAGTTCAGCAATGATGGTAAACTTATTCTTATAGCGACCAATGGAGGGTTCATCCGGCTCGTTGATGCCTTTAAAGGAGCTGTTCTTCATACATTTACAGTGAGGACTGCTTTCTTTACTTTGTGGAAAGCTCTTTGTCTTAAACAACTGCCATGATAAGGATGAGATGGGTTACACATACTGTGTTCGATTCTTACTGTGCTAGAAGTTGCTTTCCTATTTGAATTTCACAACCTTTCCACTTTCTGTTAATGTCAAATATGTACTTGCCTTGTTTTTCTGAAGTTAATTAAAGGTTATTATGATGATATGTGACTATGCTACTAGCAAAGTAGGAATACTAATTTTTACACAAAAATAGAATAGTAAAATAATAACATAAAAAGAGGACTGGCTATTAAAGCTGAGATAGAAATAACTGAAATAGACAAATTATCCACTTGACCAGAGAAAAATCATTGATTACAATTAAAAAGACTAGGAACCCTTGCAGAAAAAACAAAATGACAATTTTATGTTATCATTAGTAGGTTTGAATTATGAAAGAAGTGTATGTTTTGGTTAGTTGAAAAAGTTAGCTTTTATATATTAAGAATTAAAGCCACTGTCAGGAAAGTCAAGAATTATTGCAGATTTTCTTCACTTTTTTACTATGGTTTTCTTCTTTTTTTTCTTTTTCTTTTGCTCACCTTTCATTTTTGTATGTAAGTTTTGAGAAGCTTTTAATCTCAGGCACATGAGGGGATGAGACCGCAGGTCCCTTAACACAGTCTGGAGCAGTAAGATCTTTAAGATCTGCTGGGGAGGCCCCTCTTTCACACCCGCCTCCATTACAAGCACAGTTGGTGGGGACAAGGGAGAGGACCTTCTCGGTGGTGGCCCCCCAGCTCTGGAACTCTCTCCCAGGAGATTAGATTAGCACCCACCCTGTCCACCTTTCTGTAAAGACCTGAAAACTTGGATGTTCAATGTGCCTTTGATTAATTGGTTCATCTATTGACTACCCCCAGCCCTAATTTATTGTCTGGCTTTGTAGCACTTTATTACCTGCCCCGCCCTTACAGCTGTATTGCACTAGCCTTTGCCCCACCCCCCCTAGATCTGAACATGCCCACCATTCCTGGCTACTGGTTGAAGGTTATTGTTGTTCTTATGATTTTATGATGTCTGTTGTTCGGTTTTATTGTTTTAATTATTGAAATACAATGTATTTTAATAGTGCTATATCTTCTATTTTTGCTGGGCTTGGTCCCCATATAAGCCACCCTGATTCCCTTCAGAGAGATGGTGGCAGGATATAATAATAATAATTATTATTATTATTATTATTATTATTATTATTATTATTATTATTTTATTCCTTTGCTTGAAGCATGTTTGACATTTCTCATGAAACTTTCTTTTATAGGGATACAACAATAGTAAAGCCGTTACACTGGAGGCATCCTTCACACCCGATTCACAATTTATAATGATTGGTAAGAGTGCAGTTCTTGCTTTCCTTTCCTCCTTCTCTCTCCTTCCTTGGTGCTTGTTGATGTTATATTTTGTAGGGGTGCCTGCCACTGCAATTTTAAATGGGTTTCTTCATGAAAAGGCTTCTATGGTGATGGTTTATACTCCTTTTGCATAATCTGATCTACAGGATCAGAGGATGGGAAAATCCATGTCTGGAACGGAGAGACCGGAATGAAGGTAGCTGTGTTAGATGGGAAACACACAGGCCCCATAACCTGTTTGCAGTTCAACCCCAAATTTATGACTTTCGCCAGTGCATGCTCTAATATGGTAAGGAGATTGGTCTTTTATCAGTTGACTATTTTTTGTTAAAGAGGTCAAAGGATGTTACTAGTTTTGAAAATAGTCATTTTTCTGAGACAGTAAAATGAACAAAAATGTGTTTGAATTTCCTTGCATTAAGTCAAATCAGTATCAGTATGGTCCAAGCACCAATACTAAGTAGATATATCCTGCCTCAGCAAATATTATTGTGTGTTTTACTGAAGTGGTGGTTCATGGAGAAATAGAGGAGTACGCATAATGTCCCATATGGGAATGGATTATGTTTGTCATTATTTTACCTTTAGGGGGGCACTGTTAAGGTACATGTGAAACTGCAGTGCTATTACCAATCAGTTTCTCTGGGTTGGACTAAATGTGTAATATTCTTAAGCCAGGGGTCCTCAAACTAAGGCCCGGGGGCTGGATATAGCCCTCCAAGGTCATTTACCTGGCCCTTGCTCAGGCTCAACCTAAGTCTGAAACTCCTTGAAAGCACACAACAACAACAACAACAACAACAATCCTATCTCATCAGCCAATAGCAGGCCCACACTTCCCATTGAAATACTAATAAGTTTATATTTGTTAAAATTGTTCTTCATTTTAATTGTATTGTTTTAAAGTGTTTTTTTGCACTACAAATAAGATATGTGTAGTGTGCATAGGAATTCTTTCATATTTTTTTTCAAATTATAATCTGGCCCTGTAACTGTTTGAGGAACTGTGCCCTGGCCCTCTTAAAAGGTTTGTGGACCCCTGCCTTAAGCAGTGGTTCTCAACCTTTTGGTCCTCCCATGATTCCTAAAAGCTGGTAAACTGGCTTGGATTTCTGAGAATTGAAGTCAAAAACACCTGGGGAACCCAAGTTTGCCAACCACTGCCCTAAAGAATGAATCCAGGATATCTGCTGGGTATAGTTCTCCATAAAATTGATAAATTAACACAATGATATGACCACTTTTAGCCATCTTACTCTAAGCTGGTTTTAAATGTTTGTGACTAGATAATCGGGACAGGCAATGTCCAGTTAGCTTCCCTTTGTGGCCCTACTACTACCATTACTGTTTAAAAGGGCCTGTTGTATTCCCTAGGGCAGGCCTGTATGACCTGTTGACTTCCAGGTGTTTGGGACTCCAACTCTTAGACGCCCTGGCCAGCTTGACAGGAATTCTGGGAGGTGAATTCCAAAACACCTGGAGGACAACAGGCTGTGCAGGGGAGAATTCAAAACGCAAAATGATTTAAAAACCATTGTGGTCTAAAAACAATGCAAATATCCCCCAAGATCTTTAGATAATAACTACAGGTATTTGTGGGGATATCTGGCCCTTCAAGGTTTGGTGAGAGTAGGTTCAGCCCTCAAACCTCTGGAAACGGACAATCCAAGGTTATAGAAAACTTTTTGGCATAATCTCAAGAATTAACCATTGCTACTCAGCAGTAGACACAGCATCCTACCAATCCACTTTCTTCTTCTTTTTATCTCCAGGCCTTTTGGTTACCAACAATCGATGACTAGTTCCATTCATCGTTTTCATTGAACAATTCTTGACTGTACTGACAGAAATATATTTATGAAGACGGCAATGAAAGTATTGTGGGTGCATCAGTGAGGCAGAATGTTCCAGTCCAGCACTTGTGTGATTTTTGTGCTGCATTTTCATTCCGAAGGATTTTTTTAAAAATAATTTGGTTATGCAGAACTTTGCCTGGAAAATGTAAGAGTGTAATTCTGGCAGCATTTCTATTATAGCAGAACACATTTCATATGAGCTCAAGTTGGCAGCTTTCCTTTGCAATGCATTTTGTGCCACAGTTTGTGCATATTGACACTTTAGTCCTTTTTATATTCAATAGAAGGCTATCACTTGTTTAAAAGTGACTTTCCAGTTTTACATTTTCAACTAACATATTCTGAGTTCTTTATTTTTCTTAGACAAATGCTTGTTATATAAAACTTCTTTGCCATATATATACGTAACCAGTTATTGAAGGGCATTTCAGATGCTGTCGAGTTTTCTACTTGAGAAAGGATCTCATGCTATTATCAGGTTTATAAAAAAATCTTCCAGCAAACCATACAGAATTTGAGATATTTTCCACGGACAGCATCGTGGACACAATGTCACTTAGTAGCAATACCAGAACTTTGCTGTTAGAAAATGCTGTGGAGCAGGCTGGATCAGAACACACCCCTTCTCCTTCAGTGTAATCTTAGCAAGCTATGTAAATATGAGGACCGGGAGGGTGGAGGTTGCATTCTTCTTTCTTACTATTTGATATTAAAAAGTAATACATGGACCCATGCAGTATCAAGGAGTGAGTCTTGGTTGTGTTTTTGCCTTTCATTGTTTATATGGTATTCTTCCAGGGTACTAAATAGTGATTTGATGCAACTAAAATTTCCAGTTAATGAACTTGAGTTTCTGACTACAGTTGCCTTTTCCCAGAAAATAGAATGAAGGCTTGTGGTAAACATGTGTAGTGGCATCCTTTCTGGGCCAAAAGGAAATGCATGTAAACTCCTCTTGTTGCTGTAATACTGATACTACATTTACACTTAATTTAGGAATATGTGAAACTGCAGTGAACTATCTGGGCCTGTTGCCTTATGATCTTCATTACCAAACACCTGATGCTGATAACCTCTAGATTTCAGGAATTACATTTCAAACAAGTATGGTTTAAATCTTTCATGTTCTAGTACAGTAGTTTTCAACCTGTGGGCCCCCAAATATTTAGGCCTTCAACTCTCAGAAATCCTAACAGCTGGTAAACTGGCTGTGATTTCTTGGAGTTGTAGGCCAAAACACCTGGGAACCCGACCCACAAGTTGAGCACCACTGCTCTAATAGTTTCAATCCCCCCTAAGCCCTACGTTTATGTCTTCTCCAGCCAGCTTTATCTGTTCTCTGCTTTTCTTAGCACTATTTAGATGTTGTATTCTTTTCTCTATATTGTTATTATCTGTTGTATTAAACTGTAAACAAGTGTTTTCTGCATCTTCACATGAGCTTTTGCACATCATCCATCCTGAAGAATGTAAAACTTTTAAATTTGGATTGGTTAGCAAAAGCTAGAGGGGATTTCTTTTTGCCTCTGTGGAAAAAGGTAATTGTGTCCATATTTAAAATTATTTGTTCATTGTGTGTAGCTCTTTGGCGGCCTGAATGCAATAGTACAAGTAGTTGCATCTCAACTCCAGGCTTCTTTTGTATTAATTAAGAGCAGGGCAGCAGGGACAGGCTGGTCAGCTGCAACACAGATTTGGGCCAAGATTGCAGACGATGGCTTATGGGTTCCTTTTATCAACGCTTTTGGAGCCCCCGGTGGTGCAGTGGGTTAAACCCCTGTGCCGGCAGGACTGAAGACCGACAGGTCGCAGGTTCGAATCCAGGAAGAGGCAGATGAGCTCCCTCTATCAGCTCCAGCTCCTCATGTGGGGACGTGAGAGAAGCCTCCCACATGGATGATAAAAACATCAATTCATCCGGGCGTCCCCTGGGCAACGTCCTTGCAGACGGACAATTCTCTCACACCAGAAGCGACTTGCAGTTTCTCTAGTCGCTCCTGACATGACAAAAAAAAATCAACCCTTTTAATACAAATAAGCATCTTTACACTTCACTATGCTTGTTTCAGCTACTATTTTTATTTGAAGAAATAAAGTATTTTGACTTGGCTAGTTTGCCATTCAACTGACAACATTCTTTTAGAAATACAAGTATTTGTAAGGTTTTGCTGTCTGTAGCTGTTCCTAGTTTAAATGTTTTTCTTTTCAAAAAAGATATAACTTTTTAAACTTAACTACTCTGCTATTCAGTTGGAAACCTCAAGTTATCTGATAAGCAGTTTGTTAGCTGTACATTTCTCTTTATGCTGGTAGCTCATTTTGATTAAATAATTCCTTTGCTAAAGCACTACTTGCCAATGTATTCAGATCTCTTAAAATCATATTATGAATACAAAGTTAGATTTGAATTTTGTAAATGTGTACCTGGAGCTTACACATGACCTTACACATCCTTTCTGTGAAGAATAAATGACAGTATTAGCCACAGGGGTGTGCTGTTGCTTCAGTGTTTCATTATCACTCGTGGTTCCTCTTGTCTTCGCATCCATCGAAATGCTGTACACGTCTATTTTTTCCAGTGTAAGAAACAAACAGATTTGGTTTCTGGAGCAGCTGCTATATAATAACTGTATGTTTTATTAGATCTGTTAGGATAGACACATCAAGATTATTAAACCATGTGGAGCACCTTTTGGCACACTTATGCTTAGTAACATTCCTGGATACAAAGGCTTATCAAGCTAAACATTTTATGTAGACCTTAAAAAATTGTGTCAGTGCTGATCAAAACAGAAATAGGCAAAACTTTTTTTTTTTGCTTGCGTGTTACAACAAAGTACGTTATCCTATTTCCAGACTTTTTCATGTGTGCCCTAATAATCTGAAAAGTTTATGCTCAGCTCTGTTGACTATTTGGGTGTTTATCATTCATTTTTTTCCTTTGGAAAAGATTACTATTGGACACAATTGAAAATTTGACCATAGGGATTTGAACTTCAGTAGGTGTGTAACTTCCGACTATAATTTTCTAAGCACTTAAGACAGGTTACTCCCTTACACTTGCTACTGGATATGATTGGTCCACAATTTGTCATGGTTTATGAAAAAGGATTGCAGTTGTACATGAAAATAAAAAGGACTTGCAGAGGCAGTGTTTTTGATCATGTCAAACTATATAATTACCATAGAGTGGGCTGACTACAGTACTCACAAATGTAGGGGGTAGCAAATGAGAACAGTAGCTTTTGTTGTGTTCTTTTTTCAGTAAGGAACCCATGTAAATTGGAACCAAATGTTATAGTATATTCACAAATACACCTATTCAGAGTTCTTTCCAGTCCTGTCCCTTTCCCAAGTGCTTTCAGAGACTTGAATAGATTGTTTCTGCTTCATCACCATTTCAGTTGTTGAGAGTCGCATTTTAAGTATATTTGTCATTAGACTGCATGGGGCATATTTATACCACGCCACACCTTGCCATTTATTTAGGCATTCTGGGAAAGGCATATTTAGATTGGCATCAACTGTATTTAACTTTAGTCTTATCCGTGTTTAATCATTTGTATTCTCTATAGGAAGAACCAAGTGGGACCTGTAAGCAAATTGTACTACTGTGTTTTCAACTTGCCTCAAAATAGCTCCTTCCTTGCTACCGAAAGTTATCAACAGTGGACAACGCTTATATTCAGAAGCACTAAATTATGGAAATCTTGCATGGTACTGGCTGCCTGCATAGCCAATATGATCAGTTCCAAATGTAGAACAGTAATCGTCTGGCAAGAGCATGAGATGAATACTGCTGATTTAAATAGATTCACAACTAAAATAGAAACAGACAATACTTTAAAGATCAGAAATATTGTTTTCAAATAGTGCATTATGTTTCTCTGATGGAAATATTAATGAACGCTAATAAGAACAAACCTTTATTCAGCAATACAGTCCTTTATGTGATGTTTGGTTGACTTTGAAAATTTGGAGGTCCCCCCCCCCCCCAATTATCAACAATCCAAATCTTGCAAATTATGGATTGTGACTTCCTTTACAAATGAATCTATCTGTATGTGGTCATCCTTTTCCTTCTGCTTTTTATGCCAATTAGTCATAGTCGAGATAGGATAGGCCTCACCCAAGTTATTTTGATTTCTAGTGAGGTTGGATTTGCTCTCAGCCCCATTTCAAATGGACTGATTCTCTTGTTGGCTTTACTCTCCAACTTGCAACAACTATCTACAGTAATATCTTGACATACAAGTGTAATTCATTCTGTGACCAAGCTTGTGTAACTCAATTTGCTCTTATGTCAAATCAACATTCCCCGTTGAAATTGAAATACCATTAATACATTCCTATACTCCAAAACCACACAATTTTTTTATTAATAAGTGTATTTACATTCAAGATCAGAGAAGATGCAGGCGGAGGTGAAGGGCACCATGCTACCTCTCCTCCCCCCCCCCACCCCCCAGGTCTGTTTGTGATTGGCGAGCCACGAGCAGCTCCAAAGGTGTGCAGTGTAGGCTGCATAGTAATGCTGAGCTGCTGCAGCTACTGCCTGTTGGCTCAGTGGGCTGTGTGTAAGCAGAAGGGGTGTGTAGTGTCAATCAAGGACTCCTGCGTGCGAGGAGCAGGGGCACACACTCGCATTTGGTGGTATTTAAGCTCTCTTCAATCAAGGACTACTGCCAATAAAACGGACCCTTCCCAGCCAGATCGGTTTCTTTGGGGTTTTACTGCCAGATTTTAAAATCAATTCACATGCAGGTTCACACTGGCTGCCTCTCGTGCTTTGCCTTGGCTAAAATGGAGGTGGAGGCAGCAGCAGCATCGTTTTAGATATCTCCAGAGGGCTTTGTGAAGAGACCTCTTAACTGATCACGGCTCGCATCTGAGCCAAAAATCTGAAATGGATTGTATCTCAGAAAACTCATAAGTTGATGCGCTTGCCAGTCGAAGTTTCACTGTATACAAAATTAAGATGATTGAGATTTTGTTACTAAATGTTGCATCTTCAGACTTGATCAGAACCTAGTTGCTTCGCAACAGTCCTTCCACATCTACTGATTTTGTGATTACTCTTTTCATTTTAATTAATAACCAAGATATAAAAAACTAAAAATACTATGTCTTCATCACCCTCATTCCCCATAATAATATGCATATCTGTATTATAAATTAAACAAGTTTAATCCACAAATTAATATGCAAATGAACTGTACATGTTAACAAAACAATGCAACATAAAATAAGTTCAAAAAGTATAAATACTGTGCATCACATTAAGTACCATGTGTGCTTTGCCATGTTTGATAAAATACTATATACATTTCCTTCAGTTGCTCCAACAATCGCCCTACAAGCTTCTTTTTAAGTCAGACATCTGTGCATTATTCTGAAATGAAATGTGCAGTCTTATTATTGAAGTCTTTCTTAAACTTGATTAAAACCACATGATTTCACAGTTGTGGCAGCATGCCATTTTCTTAATACTGAAAAAGCTTAATTCCAGAAGTTTCATTCTGCTAACGTGAAAGTTTCCTACAACTTACAGAAGCATAAAAGTTTGCGAACATAAGAATGCTCATGTAAGGGAGAGAGCTGTGCTATTTTACTGTAGTACTTTCCGTAATAAGGCATAGGAATATCCAAACTCTCAAGAGTAATTGCAAGAGAAGTTGCATTAGTGAATTCTACTGATGTTGTTTTCAAAGGATGAAGGCAATTTTCTGCAGCAGCATCCATAGGCCAGGATATGGTGTCCTTATTCAAAATGCAGGTCTATCAGTCAGTAGTAACAAGCCATTTAATGTTCATCCTTGTTGTACAGTGGGATAGCAAACACAGTAATATCATCATAGGAAGCAGGCATGTTGCTGTCCATAGTCCAGTAGTATCCATCCTTCTTCCCCCTGGCTTTCTGTATCAGGGTCTTGGCCAGTTCAACAAATCTATAGAAAGAAAGTGGAATGTTATCAGAGCAAGGATTAGCAAGCCTGAAGAGACGACATGATAAAATCAACTGTCAAACAACTGAGCCAAGTCTGGTTCTCAATTTTGCCATGTTGCATAAATTAGGAAAACTAACCTATTAAATTAAATGTAGCTGCAATGTGTAGCTAGCCCTATGTAGATAACCAGCATTTTTTGACCTGCCTTACTGAGCAGCTGCTGCACGCAATGGAGATCTGTTCTCCTGTCAGTCAGAATGCAGCAAACAGTTTTCCATCCCAATTCCTGTGAATGATCTCTGGATCTTAAAAGCAGAGCATCTCTGTTACGATTTCTCTTTCCAGTGCAGATTGCTTGTGTACTGCACAGGAGAGTCCAACCAAAAGTAAGACCATTCAACAGCTGAACAGACTACCTCAGAAGATGGGTTCTCATGGGCTTCTCGTGGGAAATTTAATAGTGGATTCCTGCACAGCCAGGTTGCCCCTGAGATCTTTTCATATTCAATGATCCCAATAATACTGATATGCTAGAATACTTGCTACCATAAGCAGAGCGGAATTGTGACCACACACAGCTAACATATTGGGTTTCTCTTTCTCTCTTTGCATCTGAAATAATTCTGCAAGCATTAAAATATTTCAATTGTGATTCTTTGAGTATTGTTATTATTAATACAAAAATGTTGCAAGAGTTAGCATTTTCAGGGTGCAGACTGTGAAGGTGTAGAAATGAAGACACAGCAGCAAACATTATTACTGCTACACCATGGCCTAGCATGATTTTCAACCTGTGGCCTCCACGTGATTGTGCCTCCAACTCCCAGAAGCTCTAGCCAGCTTGTTCAATTGTTAGGTATTCTGGGTGCTGGGGTCCAAAATACCTGAAGGGCCACAGGTTGAAGAAACCTGGCTAAGGCCTGCATCAAATGGTTTGTCCCATTGAGTCAGTTAAATTTATAGGAGTACACCAAACTTTCATAGATTCAATTGAATTCAATTTAGTTGTGATTATCAATTTGATTTAGAGAGTTTCCTGCCAGTATTTCCATGCTATCAGTACCTGTATGGATCAGTTGTATTGTCCTGGAGAAAATTCCTTACAATCTGGGCTACGTCTTCATTTGACATAACATCCCAAAGACCATCAGTTGCCATGATAAGGACATCATCTTCCTCGATATTCTGTGTAGTCAAATCAAATACTTCTACCTAGACAACATTAATGAAAATTCAGAAGTTTTCTTAAGTCATCCCTAACACCATTCAGCTTGACAAACTAAACCTTAAAGCTACAGAAAACATATGTGAAGTAATATGTCACTTCACAAAAAACTGAGTACAAGTCAACTCACAATGTGCATTGCTTGTCAATGTATACATGGAGTTGTGGGAGGAAACAAGGCCTTTCGCTTGGCATCACATGAAAGCAAAAACAATGCAACTAAAAGCATCGAAATTGCAATGTATCCCTCAAGGCTACATATACAGCTGATCAGCAAAATGAATAGACTCAAAAAAAGACAGCACTAACTATAATACTTCTAAGGTCACCACAACTCCAATGCTATATCACTCGCCTTACCTTGGGAATGCAAGAGAGGAAAGGCTTGATTTCAACATCTGTTTCAAGGACTTTTAACTGATGATCTCCCAGGCCTCGGGACACGGCCAAGGTGCCTAGCAAACGAGCCTGAAAGAAATGTAAAAAACCTCATGTCAAGAATGGGACAGCATAGAGAATTGAAAAGCAGCAAGTAGATTCAGCCACAATTTGAAATATTTTTGTCCCAGATATTTTTATCATGACTTAAAATACAGTTAAAAGTATAAAAGAGCAACATTTCCCAGATCCATCATGTTTCCTAAGAACTAGATAATAAATAAATAAATAAATGCTAAAAGCTTATTGAAACAAAATAGTTGTTATCTGGAGAGCTCAGTTCAGGTGATCCTTTTAAGGCAGCCATGTACTATTCAACCATCTCACTCCAGATTTTGTGGGGGTGGGGGGTGGGGGTGAGATACCCAGTCAGTCCACTTTCTGGGATATTATCAAATGAGAAGCTTCTTGTATGACTTGTAGGCAGCCCTTCAAATACTGTGGATCTAAGACATTTAGAACTTTAACAGAGTAAGCCTATATATGGTTACTCAAGCATTAAATATGTCTCATGGCTTACCCATGGATAAATGGATGTAAAATGCAACTAAACGAGATAAATCAGGTTTTTGAATTCTGCTCGTAAATAAGCTATTAGACAATGGGGCCAATTAGCTATGCAGTTAGCATCTCTGCGTAGGCAGGGCTGGCTGATGTTTTTTAATAACCTTTGAAAAACTGGATGTTGCCAGATTAGCAGAGTTAGTAAATAACACATTGTTGTTGCTGGTGTATATGGAATTTCCACCCATAATGTTCTTAAGAAAAAGCAAACTCACCAGTGCAAGGTTCTTTGAAAACCTAAACAACCTATCTAACAATCTTCTGAGTGTACTTGCACAAGGTTGACACCTTGCCAAGGCTGGGGAAATGCCTCCAAAGCATCGATATTTTGTACAATTTGAATTAATGAAAGTATTTTTGGATGCCTAGCAAGAGAGCAGACTACAAATGTTGAAATTATTATAAGGAATGACAAAGAGGCTCTTGGAAGTGACTTGCACTCATACCTGTTTTCCATGTCCGTGGATCAGAGGGTACTTAAGGTCATCTTTCACCACCGTTCTGTATCCCCTGAAACAAAGAAGACTTGTGAGTCTTCACTTCAGTAGATCTTTTAGTGTATTCTGGCTGCAAGCCAATCAAGAGATAAGCATTCTTAAACCAAATGATTCCAATTAACTTCAAAATAGAAACACACCTTTTCTGTTGGGATGGGATGGGGTGGGGAGTGACTATCAGTCCTTGTCTCATTCTTTTACAGTTTTTAGAAAGAAGTAATTTGCCTTCTTGTGTAATAAGCGAACTGGTATTAGCTAGGAAACTTATTCAGGGGTAGCTATATTGGCCATGCAGTATAATGCAATAAAGTCCCCAAATCCACAAAACTGTGATACCTTTTATTGGACCACCTAAAATGCACAAATTGCTTTTGAAATTTTACTGGTTTCTTCATCTGGTGAATAGGTTAAAAATAATACAAGAGAAGTGATAATGTTAAGATTCACAGGCCTATATTTTGTTTAAAATAAAAAGCCATTTATATGGGAGTGTGAGATAGTTTTCACGTGATGCAGAGAATGAAGTAAAAGCCAATCATTCCATGCCATTTCAAAGAGCATCCTGGTCCTTTCGAAACCAAGATATCTTTTTCATTACAACACCAGCCATCTCATTGGACTGGTAAAGCAAAAGGAATACAACTGATTAATGACTCTCCACTCCAACTACTTTATCTTCTGTCAAGCCTGCTAAATGGCTAGATGAAAAGAACACATGCCATAGAGAAGAACAAAGGGGGAAGGCAAGGCATGTAAAATAACACTAAATCTCACCCTCCCCATTTTTGTTGTTCAAAGAAATGTAACGTAATGTGGAAGGCAAAGGAAATACTGTGTGTCAAATGGATCTATTGTCAAGGGACTATTCAATATAGGGGAGGGAAGAGGAGGCTGCAATCTCCCAGGAACCAACATAACTGTGTTCATTTCTTTGCTCCAGAATACTTTTTAGACAGGGACAGGGGAAAATTTACGATGTTTTAAGACGTCTCAGTAAGGTTTGGGGCCCAGGGTGGCTTTTTTTTTTTGGCAACAAGAGGTGAGAAACGATTTTCCCGTTGTAAAAAAGGCAACTCCTGGGACCTAAGATGGCCTAGGGAGAACCATTTTTGCCTCACATGCCCCTAGGTATGCTGAGGTCACAATATGGTGTCCAACTACAACAGTTGCCCACTCTTGCTCTGACGTGCATACATGCCCACATGCCCCAGAAAGACTCACCAGCCTTCCATGCAGTAATCCCTGTATAGGACCTTCTGCCCGACATCATCTCCTTTCAGTCTCCTTGGAAATTCATACCTTGTAAACTCATCAGCTAGGAGCTTTGGGTAAATAAATGCCTGGGGAAGAAAATGAGCATTGAGAAAGATTCAAAAGAGAAGTATAATCTCAGAAAACATCAGCAAAAATTCTGAGGTAGGCACTCTGAACTGTGTTCCATGTCTTCCCAGTGATTTACAATGCAAATTCAGAGTAAGTTATTAGAATCCCTCCACCGCTAATGGAGACCAAAAAAGAAATCTTTAAAAGCAGAACTTTTAAAGGATCCAAATCCACAAACAAGAAGCACTATCCCAGGACTGTATGAAATGGGAGTGATTTTTCAGGAGGAAAACATGTTATTAAACAGTGTGCTCCACACTACCCTGGAAAAAAGCATGGTAAATTATTGCAGTTTCCGTTGTACAGTCAACCCATTCTGAGTGGCAAACTAGAGATGCAATCCATGTAATTTAAGAAGGGCACACAGTAGTTCAGAACCCCTCAGTGCTTCTTTTTGACTAGCATTAAAGTCCAATCCACTCCAAGAGAAATGGTTATATCACAGAATGGATCTGTTGAAACTCCCATCATTGATTAAGAATGGGTGGCCCTTATGCATATTGCCATTATGAAATATCCGGGAAAGTGTTCTGATATTTTTTCTAAAGTAGTTCTCTTACCAGATGCTGGATTCTCTGCCTCTCTGTCTCAGGGGTGAATTCAGTACTCAGAGGAACAAAGTTTTCTTTTCGAACAAGGAGTGCTCTGAATTAAAACAAGATTAGAGAATCCTATAATTTCCAAATGGAAGTATCATCTTGTTACATTTTTAAGACATGGGAATAAGTTTCACAAGTGTTAGTACTTGGCTGTCTTTGCAGATACTCAGAAATCTCAGATTCCCACTTGACCAAGCAATGTTCATTTTTATTAATATCTGAAGTTACATAATGTAAAGAATCATTTAACTTACTATGTCACAAACCAGGAAGAGGCTGATCTGTAGCAAACAAACCTATACTAGCTGTGGACAAAAACATTCGGCTGTTGAAGCAAACTGAGACTCAAACTTCACATTGTAGTGAGCATTTTTTTCCTTTAAAAAGCATTAATATGCTCTTTTTTAAAACATAGTGGAGCTATGTAAAGCCTCAGTCTGAACTAAAAGGGTGTTTCCTCCCTATACTTGATTCTCCATTAAAATCTCTCCTTATTCCTACACAAACTGTTTGCTCCCAGAGTTACCATTTACAGGAAACAGAAGCTTGAAAGGGGATTTCCAGTAAGAAATTCACCTGCTCGACAAAAAAGGTGAAGCCTTCCTCCCCACACACCATATCCCCAATGCAGATTAAGTGTGTAAATCTCTTTGTTTTCTTAGAAAAAAATGCTATTTTTAGTCAGATAAAGAACACTTAACATAACATGTAATTTGACACTGATAAATGGGAAATTTGACATCAGTAAAGTTTATATGTCTTTTAATCTAGAAACACTAGGAATACATCCTACCACTCTTCAGTGGGCAATATTCGCTACCATCCCAGGTTGTATTGTTACTGACTCACCTGCTGTCACCTGCGTTTGCGACATAGAGCTTCCCCTGCAGATAAAGTACAGCTAGTGCTGTGCAGCCTCCTGACTGATTGGTAATTTCCATCTCCTGACCAATCACTTCATCCTGTTGGAAAGAGAGATTACTTGATGACCAAAGGAAAGTGTCAGATCTTCCAGGAAAAGGCCAATGCCTACATTTATCACTGTTGTCAGAGATAAAAATTACCTGGACCTCCACTGATAGCCGGTTTGAACAAAGGAAACCCATTGTTTTGCTCTATCCACATGTTATTGTTTTCATGTACGTAATAATAGGAGAATGTTACGACTACCAAATAATGTCCAGCTGAAAACCAAAACAGGGGAGTTATTTGTTTATGAGCCATTCTTTCATCCTACAAGAAAAGGGTCTTGATCACTGCCTGATCAGGTGAAGAAAATAAATGGCTCACATTCAGGCCAATTTCTGACATAAGGAGCATCACCATTTTTGGGAAAGAATGAAGGGGGAAAAGGATCACTTACACATTCCTGGAAGGCATTCTCCAGAGCTCCAATGACCACATCTTCCTGACGAATTTGCTTTTCTTCCACAAACTGTGGGTCGCTTTGACAAATACACTGCCCATTGAGGTGCATTGGAGGCCTGTCTTCAGTAATGCCCTCCACAACATCTTCTAGTTTCTGTTTGATGCAATAGTGCAGGTAGTTGGAGGCCATCATTGATGCTTCTGGACCGCCATGACCATCAAACAGTGCCCAGTAATAGCCAGTCAGATACTGAAAGCCAAAGCATGAGAGTTATCACTTCATATGGGCCATTCTTTTACCCTTCTACAAAAATGTTTTGGGGTGTTTGATTTGGGCTGTGAGAACTGTTGACAGAAATGTCTGTTTAGGCACAATGCTCAATGAGGTATATTAAGTAGGTTTCCAATCACTCCACCTCACCTAACATTCTGGCAATAGAAGGATCATAATAGGAAAGCATTTAGACAATATTTCACAGTTAAGGGAGCAATTATTATGGCCTATTTCTTCACGTACACCTTAGAGCTCTTCTTAATGTCTGAAGATAGAGCAGAAGTATCTTTCAAAAATAAACAAACAGATATAATTCTGGCAATATCCTCAAAAACATCTCTTTGGGTTACTGCAATGTATTATTTGTAGGGCTGCCTTTGAAAATGGCCCAGAAATCTCCAAAATGAGGTATGGAAAATTGTTAACAGGGACTAACTGATATGACCATATTTTCTCACTCTTCTGCCTATGCCTTGTCTTCCAGCCCTTTTCTGGCCCATTTCAAAGTACTAGCATTAATTGTTAAAGCCCTGTTTCCCGATGGTTTGCCTCTTCTCAAATTTTCTGAAGCTCTCCTCCAAATATCTGTGTTAAAGAAGGTACAGTGACCTCACTCTTTCTAGTAGAGAAAAAGAGAGTTAAAAGACTAAGGGAGAGACAGATGGTTTTTTAATACCAATTTTCCCCTAGTTTTTCAAGCCTACATTTTAAGGGCACTCTTTAAGCATCAGTATAACACAACTATTCTGTTCTACTAGACTTATTCCATTGTTCTTTTATTCCACTTCTGATTTTAGTTTCATGCTGTATTTTATCATTTTCAGTTTTAAAGCAACTAGAGAGAATTTTCATTCTTAGCAAGTATATAATCATGTCAAAAGATGAAAATACTGATGCAACCAGCCTCAAAGACACATACAGTCACATTTAATGTGGGATTCTGCAGTGACTTCAGCGTGTCCACTTTGAAACCTGTTTGTACCTGGCTTTGGTTTGTGATTCCTTAGGCTCCTTCCACACAGCTGAATAAAATCCCACATTATCTGCTTTGAACTGGAATTTATGGCAGTGTGGACTCAGGTAACACAGTTCAAAGCAGATATTGTGGGATTTTCTGACTGGATATTCTGGGTTGCCGTATATGGCTGTGTGGAAGGGCCCTTAGTAAACTAACAAGAAAAATTGGATTAATTAGGTACAAGATGGAAGAGGAAGGATAAATAAGGCAAACGAAAGAAGAAATTGGCAGAACTAACAAACAATCAGACTCCATGCTAATATTTTCTACTGAACCCAGAAGTAACCACAGCAACTATTTTTGAAAAATAGTGTAGTAAACCATAATGGTTTAGGTGCTAAATTCTCAATGGATATTTTAACCTGTTTTTCCAAAACTATTTTAGGAGTATGCATGACAGAGTATTTTTTATAGTTTGAAAGTATGTCTTTAAAATGTTACTAAAAAGTAGTAACAAACAATGCTAATGAGTTACATTTATACATCTTTTTAACAAGAAGTAGCAATAAGTAACAAGCTCTGCTAATAACTAGGATCTACCCAAGTCTTATCACTTCCTTTAAATGGGTATGCATCCCTCAACTAGTTTTGTCAACTTAAGTCAAAACAGAATAATTCAAAAGGCTTTTCGTCCATGGGCCTAGTCAGTTTGCTGTAATGCAAACTGTGTAAGCATAACACCTAGTTGGGTACTGTAATGCCAATTTAGTTTACAATGGTTGCCAAAGGCATGAACAGACACTTTAGAAACTTAATAATAAGCAGAACTAACAGGAGAAGCAGTTGTTAGCCACACAGAAAACCTCAACACATTTCAGACATCATTTTATTTCACTCAGCAATGGCAAAGATTTTCTTTATGGTAAACTGCGCAAAAGGATAAAACCATACTAGAAGGATTCAGTATTGGGAGTGGTTTTACTAGTTTCATAAAGGCATCAACTGTCCATTCTCATTTAATAAACATTCACATGCTTCATTTTTAAATATATATAATTGGTTTTTTGTTGACATCTAAAATAAAGCAGATGATTGTCGGTGTCCCTTCAAACTCTACAGTTCTATGGTTCTATATAAAATTGCAGCTCATGCCTTTCATGGGATACTCAGCATTTTTTATTACCCTGCTCAAAAACAAAAGACAGCATTCATAGTTTGATATGTAACACAGCAGCACAAGAAGGGCAGGAGGAAGCACTAATTATTAAAAGGAAAGTGTGTCTAACCCATATCAACTGCAAATACTTCCTCTTTCCCATTCTGCCACATACAATTGCTATGCTGAAATGAAATACCACTAAAATGCCAGTGGTAAATGTGTGAGTCACACAAAATAATAAATGAATGCAACTTAAATAAAGAGACTATCATTTTTTTCAGTATCAACAATGCTGTAAGCAAAGCTTGTATATGTCCTCAAGGTACCTGTCCATATATGGCAACCCCATAAATATCAGAGAGTTTTTTTAGGCAAGGAATACTGTTACTATTAATCTTTATGATTATGGCACTATCACTGTGACTGAAAATTCCCTCGAAACACACCAACTGAAGGTATTTTGTGGTACTGTCAGGTGGTGCACTGAAGAAATATGAATTCAAAACCTATCCCATGAGCAAACTGCGGCTTACTGGAGGGAAGGATTTTGGATATGCCATCCTTCAGCACCCCACTCACCAGTGCAGCAAAACGTCTTCGTTTGGTGATGCTGACTGGTTTCTAAGGTGGGTTAGGGAGGGCATTGCATTGGAAGATGGATCATAACTACATCTCCCAGGTAGGATTTCAGTCAGCATCATGACATATGTATTCAAAGAGCAACTAGCAATGGCTGAGACACTTGGCTCTTCCTCTTCTGATCCTGAACTGTACAAAACCTTCAGCCCTGAGGAGAAGGAACATTTAGCCAAGAAATTGTCCACTCAACTACCATGTGTTAGGGGAGAAAGGAAGGATGAAATGAAGCATTACCATACAGATTCACAAGTGTCTCTATATCTCTATATGATAAGATCAACAAAAGGCTCTCTGTATTTTTACTCCTCATTTGAGGCAAAGAGCATGAAAAAAAGCTGATGCCAAGATTTTGGAATTCGATATGATCTGTGGACAAATTGATCGCCATTCTACAGAGAGGGGAAAGAACCACTTGCCACTAGCAGCCACCCATTTCCCAACTAGGGATTCAAAAAGGCTTTTCACCACTCTACTCAAAGATGGTTCTTTTCTTGAAAGGAGTTAGGGTACATTACTTATACTGACCCATGAATAACTTGATCCAGTTTTTGGGGGGTCAATTTTGGACCAAAATTTCCAGACCTACACATAAGTATACAACACAAACAGCATGTATCTAAAAATAGCTATAATAAATAAATGAAAACACTTAAACAAGGAAATTAAAACAAGGAAAATTGTTTTATTATTAGAGCTGTATTAAAACACGGAAAATTGTGGCTGCAATTAATCCCTGCTGCTTAGAAGCCAAGACGTCACTTGTGAACTGACCTCAGTGGAGCACAGGATCAACCATTCCTGATCTTCCTCTTTGCCATATTTCCTCTTCCTGATGGATATCTGACAGCACGTTGCTTGGTCTTCATTGAATTGTGATTTTTCTGCATTGATGGTTCTGATGGAACAAATAATTCTAGTTAAAACAAAATCCACAAGAATAGCTAAAGCACTTCCAATTTTACTATGTTCAATGAAACCTGAGAATGTTTGTTAAGTTACTAACTTGCTGTCACATGTTTTAAGTGTCATGTAAAATATTATTGGTAGATACTTATTGTAGATTTTATTAATTGCATCATTGCCCACCAAAAACCCTGAAGTGATATATAAGAAGACAAAAGTGCCCTTTCTGTTCATGGTATATACAACAAGTAATGGGCGAAATGAGTGCCTCTCAGACTTCTGACCTTTGAAACCTGTCTTCTTTTGGTCTTTGTGTTTTTTCCCTCTTCATACAAGTTGATTTGTTCCTTTGTCACAGTTTCGTTTGCACATAATCTCTTATCATGTTATTAGGACTGGAAAAAATCTCACAGCCACTGGAGTAATTACTTCTGTATTGGCAGTTTGCATGGCTTGAAGAAGACAACAGGCTGCTTAGAACCAAAGGAGACAAAAAATAAGTCTCAGTCCAGAGACCCATGGGCAGTTCTAGGTTAAAATAAATGGCGGGGGGGGGGGGGTTACAACTTGTGGGCTGCATATAGGCTTCAAGGCTATTTTTCTATTTTTGAAGTCCCAACGCACTGTTTTGCATTTTTAAATTTTATTTTAATAAAAAGGTCCCCTAGTCAACTCTATTGTGCCATTTTTTGGGAAGGAGGGTCGAAATCAAAGGGAAATTTTACTTCCCAGTTTTAAAAGACCCCTTCTGGGCCCAAAACAGCTCCTCGCTGCTAAAATGTGAAAAACCTGATTCTCCCAAGACTGAAACTTTGCAGAAGTCCAAGTCTTGGCTTATGGATCTGAAATGTAACCCGAAGCCAGTAAACTGCACCATTGTCTTGCTGAGGGCCCTCTCGAAAGCACCAAGAAATGGCTTGCTGGGAAACACCTGCATACTGTAGGCAGCCAAGACAAGGAAAAGGGCAGTAAGCCAGCTCTGCAGCAGGGACTATTGACCTGTACTCAATAGGGACTTTGGACCAAAAGGCACGTTTTCTTGGTTTAAAAGCATATTTTGGTAGTGAAGGAATTTAGTGATTACATTAGACCTTCAGAGGAGGCTGTGACCTAGAAATGGGTTCTTACTTATCTGCAGGAGAGATTAACCGTTCTCTTGCACCACACTGATTTGTGAGTGCTGCTCTGAATGTATCTCTGGCTTAATTTAGTGCCTCCCTCAAACTTTCCTGGCTATTGCTCCAGATCACCACAAGATTTAACAGCAAAGTTCTGATGCATCAGTTCCACTCTTGAGACTTTAACTGACCAACACAGGAAACAGCTGACGTTTCAAATGTTTTTGGCTCTAAGGGGCTTGCAAACCTTCTCTGGTTTCCTGTCTCTCTCTTTTGGCAAGTAGCTACTGGTCCAAAAATCTACATTCTTTTGAGAAATTTTAAGCAAATTTACATGAACTAACTTTCTGGCCACTGTAGTTTTAGAGTACTTTTCTGCTTCACTTCACTGGCACTAATCCTCATAAATTCCCAAATATATGCCACTTTCCTATTCACAGTTTTGTTGCAAAGTAAAGTAGACAAGTGTTCCTGTTAGGAAACTTTTGTTTTTATCTACAACAGCACTAAACATATCATACACTCAATCTGCCTGATTTCCCTGGTTGAAAATGAAGTTTTGACAGTCACAAGGTATATATTGTTTTCTTCTCTCAAAGTGCTTACATTCACAGAACAGAATGCTTGATCTTTCAAGCACGTTTTTCAGGGTTTTCTGACCTCATGCCAGTCCCTTGAGAAGTTCAACTTGAAGACTGGATTAAGATTTCAATAAAAGGAAAAAAAAGGATTTTCTGCTTGGCAGACAAAGCATCAACAAGAAAGAATAACAGAGAGGCACCTGATGTAACAGTGAGACTTAGCCAGAACTTCAGTGTGTGCTTCTGTCCAAGAAATAAGTATACAGACATTCTCTACTGAACAAATCAAGGCATATTCTAACAGCAATATATCCACACGTAATCTGATTTCTGAAAAAAAAAAGTCTTGCCTCATACACCTGCAGATCAAGCCACATCACGGCTAAAATAGAGATGTTCAGTTCCTCATAATCTTTCACTGGAATGTTACATGACTCTTTTATTCCAACTAATACATTGGAAGTACAGAAGTGAAAATTTTGTGGCACATTTTATGATCTTCTTCTAATAATAAGGTATCAGAAATTTAAAAACAGCCTAACCGTTTCATCAATTTAAATTAATAACTTATACATAAAACACTGATAAATAAAAAAGCCATATTTAATTCTTAAAGGTCTACAAGATTTAATTCTGGTCCCTTGCATACTTCATTCCATACTAGTAAAGAGACAGTAGTGGTATTCTCATATGGCAAGACTGATCCTCCAGATGTTTTGGATTACAACTTTCAGACCCCATGCTCATTTTTGGCTGGCTGGGACTGATGGAAATTGCAGCTAAAAACACCCAAAACGTGACAAATTTTCACCCACCTCACTTAGCCTGCCCCATTTCTCCTATTTGTCACTATCCTGTGGTCAAGAATACCACAACTGATGTAAGGCTTGCACATTCTTAGCAAACCTCAAAAATGGCCCCATTCATTCAAAAGCTGTGTGACTGGACAGATGACGCTCCTTTTAACACAGAACCACCATAACGGAAGATACCACATTAGTCACGGTATCCCCTGACATGAAACTGTAGAAACATGAACATCTGCCTTGCAGCAGAAGTAACCAAATCCAAGCAAAGCTGGACGGAAATAGCACTCAATCCACTAACATGATACAGGTGAGTAAGAATACATTTTAACAAGCAACTATTATGAAATTCCTTTTCCCCAGAATTGGTATCTAGGAAATTGTTTCCAGAAATAAATATATCTAGCAGGATTCAATTTCCCACTGAGCCATGGAAACCCACCGGGTGAGTTACACTCGCAGCCCCAGAAAACCTTGTGACAGGGTAACCATAAGCCGGAAATTACTTGAAGGCATAAAGCAACAAAATATATATGGTTGGGGGAGGCAGATAGGTGTTACACTATTCTAACACCCACACAAACACATGAAGTTTGCCATTAAATGGCATGGTGTTTTGCCACACAAACTCAAAGAGCTAACATTACTTCAGCAGCTGTCATAATGCAACTGTGCTTTACACTACATTTTTAAAGGGAACATTTATTGCAAATCTGACTAACAGTAATGCTAAGGCAGTGTCTCTCTAATTCTACCTTTACATCAGCAATGTCCCATGAAAACAAAACACAATTCACCCTAACATGCAATTCAAATGTTATGAATTTAGAAATTGACTTACAGCAAGTAAAGTCAGCCAACCATGTGGAATGAGCCAACTTGACTAACGTTTCCCATATCCAAGAGTAGTAAAGTCTTCCAGCTTACAATGGCCTGGTTCACAGAACAATGTCACCCTTGATATTTCAAGGTTAAATATGTACTCTTAACTATGAGCTGTTTGTAACTCAGGGACTGCTTGTACATCTGGAGCAGCTTTTGTTCTCATGAAGGTGTACATTGGCTTGCTGTCCATGAGCTGAACCCTAAATGTTGATGTCATTTAAAGCCACAAAGGGTTTGTAAATACTTGAAGGAGTGCCTCTCTCTCTATATATACATATATCTGCCCAAGAATAGGGTCTGCAGGAGAGCCTTTCCTCAATGCCCCACCAGTGGCAAAAATATGAAGCGGGAAAATATGGGAGGGCGATCTCTTAACTAAGTGTCCAGTCTAGGGAATATCCTATCTTCTGAGGTCTGACTAGTGCCAACATCAGCTGAAGGTGTTTTATAGAAATACCCAGAGACTAGCTTACATGAAAGCATGCGTCGCAGGAATATTTTGTGATGATTTGTGAGAACATTTATTTATGTATTTACTATATTTATATTCCACTCTCTCTCACCCCAAAAGGGGGGGGGGGCTCAGAGTGGCTTACAACATGGCAATATTCAATGCCGTATATACAATCAAATAAAAAGCAACACATCATATATACAATTACAAATAAAAACATATAACACCGTAAAACATTTTCAAGTGTCAGGACAGCCACAGAGAAGATCATCTTCTCTGTGACTGTTCCCAGGATGTGGCAATTGTATTTTCAATGTTGAAAACTACCATATTTCAATCATTGTTTAAAAGAAAACGCTAATGCTTAAAAAAAAAGTTTGTGAACTAATGTTTTAGCTTAAAACCTTTTAAATGATTGCACACTACCATCAAGACCACAGTGTGTTTTCCAGAGGGAATAATAATAATGATAATTTTTATTTCTTATTCGCCTTTCTTCATGGCTCGAGGTGGGTTACAGAACAATTAGGGCTGGCTTCAATGGGAATGAAGGTAGTGTTGGTCCCTACCAGCCTGAGGCGGACAAACCCTGCAGAGCCCCAAACATCCAACTACATGAGAAGCATTGCATTACACTGAGCCAGATATAGATCTTACAGGGTATCATTAAGTTTACCTATGAGCTAGTGTAGTGCAGAGGTTTGAACATTTGACTATGACTCTGGTTAAAAGGCAAAAGTCTCCCCTGACATTAAGTCTCGTTGTGTCCGACTTGGGGGGGGGGAGGGGAGGTCATCTCAATTTCTAAGCTGAAGAGCTGGAGTTATCCATAGACACCTCCAAGGTCATGTGGCCAGCATGACTGCATGGAGCGTCATTACCTTCCTGCAGAAGCGGTACCTACTGATCTACTCAAATTTGCATGTTTTCAAACTGCTGGGCTGGCAGTAGCTGGCCCTAACAGCGGGAGCACACCTCACTCCCAAGATTCAAACTGCCAACCTTTCAGTCAGCAAGTTCAGCAGCACAGCGGTTTAACCCACTGCGCCACCAGGGAGCCTATGACTCTGGATACCAGGGTTCAATTTCCCATTCAGTCATGGAAACCCATTGGCGCGACCTTGGGGAAGTCACACCTTTTCAGCCCCCCCCCCCCAAAAAAAGCGATAGGGTGGCCATAAGTAACAACTGGCTTGAAGGAACACAGCAAAAACAAAGCTTACTAATGCTTCTAGAGCAGTACTTCAATTCTGCAGGGAAAATGTACAAAATGCAGTAATATTTCAAACCTGACATCTAGAGAGTCCCCTTGCACTTTTAAGGGCTGAGCAGAAGAAGGAATGTCAGAAGGTGTTGCTTACAAATGCAGTGAGATAACATGCAACACTGGCTGAAAGCCGCCCTTCTGCTCAGCCCTTCAAGGTACAAAAGGCCTCCCTGGTTTTTCACTGTGACAGCAACCCTTCAGTGCTACAAATCCCTTTGCTGTTCCTCTTACTTCCTGCCCATTTCTTCCAGAGGGTAAAGACAACAAACAAACAAGCACACAAGGCAGTGAGGCGAGATAAGACTCCTAGAGCAATGTTTCCCAAAGTCTGGCATCCCACAAGGCTTTGGACTACAGCTCCCAGAATCCCCACTCAGCTGCAAAGGCAGCTGAGGCTTCTGGGAGTTGAAGTCCAAAGCAGCTGGAGTCAAGAGTTCATGCAATTTGACACCACTTAAACTTCCACGGCTGATTGCTATAGACTCCAGTCAGTTGTAGTTTCACAAGGTCTTTATCCTTCCCTACCAGAGTAATGGTGCCTCACTAAACTACAAAGCCCCACAGAATCGAGCCACGACAGTTGAAATGGTGTCAAACTGCGCCCCTAGGTTCCCTGATGTTTTGGACTTCAGCTCCCAGAATCCTTGCTCATTGGCCGCGGCAGCTGAGGCTTCTGGGAGTTGAAGTCCAAAACACTCGGAAAACTTTTCCGAGTCCGACGCAGCCCTCTCGGAGACTCACTCGGCGTATCCTGTCCTCCACTGGAGGGGCCTGTCTCTGGGCGGGCAGCGGATCGGCCGTTCGCCCACCACCCTCTTCTCCTCGCCGCGCAGGAACTTGGGCCGCCTGGGCCGCTGAGGGGGCGGCTGCTGTTGTTGTTGTTGTTGCGGCTGTTGCTCTCCTTCTCCGCCCGGGAGCCGGGGCTGCTGAGGGGAGCCTGGGCCTCGCCTTGCCGCGCTTGCGCTGCTCAAGAAGCGCCGCTTGAACCAGTCCGAAGACATGGAAACGGAGGCGACAGCGCTCGGGACACTCACACCCACTCCTTCTCGCTCTCAAGACGTCGAATGCGAGAGCAGCCCGAAGCGCTGCGAGGAGGAGGGGAAGGGGTGGGACAAAGCAAGAGTGACACTCGTATCAGCCAATGACTGCATCATAGCTTGGTGACTACTCCCCCCTTCTGACTCTCAAGGCCCCGAATGCGAGCAGTCCGAAGCGCAGCGAGGAGGCGGGGCAGTAGGGGGCGGGGCAAAGCAAGAGTGACACTCGTGTCGGCCAATGGCCGCGCCGTACTTTTATGACTACTCCCTCCTGGCTCTCAAGGTGTGAGTCAGCCCGAAGCGCTGCGAGGAGGGGCGGCAGAGGGCGGGGCAAAGCAAGAGTGACACTCGTATCAGCCAATGGCCGTGCCGTAGTTTCGTGACCACTCCCTCCTTCTGACTCTCAAGGCGCCGAATGCGAGAGGTAGTCCGAAGCGCAGCGAGGAGGAAGGGCAGCAGGGGGCGGGGCAAAGCAAGAGTGGCACTCGTATTCACCAATGGCCGCGCCGTAGTTTGGTGACTACTCCCTCCTTCTGGCACTAACTGCGCCGAATGCGAGCAGCCCGAAGCTCTGCGAGGAGGCGGGGCAGCAGGGTGCGGGGCAAAGCAAGAGTGAAACTCGTATCAGCCAATGATCGCGCCGTAGCTTGGTGATTACTCCCTCCTTCTGGCTCTCGAGGCGCCGAATGCGAGAGCAGTCCGAAGCTCTGCGAGGAGGCGGGGCAGCAGGGGGCGGGGCAAGGCAAGACTGGCAATCGTATCCGCCAATGGGCGTGCCGCGGCCTGGTGACGAATCGCGGCCACGCGCCGGCACACAACGTCCTCGCGTCTTCCCAGAAGTGGCGCCAAAGCTCTCCTTTGCGTCACCGCCGGACACATCTACTACACTGTCGGATGAATGCAGTCTGACGCCACTTTTAACTGCCTTATCTCAGTGCTGTGGATTCCTGCGAGTTGCGGTTTGGTGAGGAAGTAACAGCTTTCGGTAGAAAGGCCTTTAAAACTATAATCCCCAGTATTCCACAGAAGTTAAACGAGTGATGTTGAACTGCACTTATACAGTTTAGGGTTGAATTAATCCAGTTTGACATCAGTTGTGCTGCCCTATCTGAATACTATAGGATCTTGGCAGTTGTAGTTCCTCAAGGTCTTTAGCTTTCTCTGCCGAAGAGTGCTGGCGCCCCACTAAACTACAATTCCCGGAATTTCATAACATTCACACCTGGGAGATAAAGTGTGGTTAAACTGCATTAATTCGACAGTGTAGATGCACCATAAGTTTTACATCGATCATATCATAAGCAGATCTGTCCCATTGGAAAAGAGAGTGACACTAGGAAGGACAAGGCAATAGCAAAAGAGGAAGCCATCACAACTAAATTAGGCTAAATTAAGGAGCCTGCAGTCCTGCATTGAAGGTCTCGTCATAGGATTGACATAATTTGCAGTCAGTATGGCCATTAAGAGCAACAAACCTTTAAAGCCAAGTGACACATCTAACCTGTTTGCATGTATGTGATTGTACTGCCCAGCACTGTCTATTTCTTTTGTTTCATTTTTATCTTCCTCATCATGACTTAAATGATTTCCCAAGGTTTAAAATGACCCACTCTACATCCTGGCGCAGTTTGGAGGAGGATGGACCATGGACGGTGGACTTGACTCACTTCCTGAGACCATTGCGACCCACACCAATAACTAATCAAGAGCAAACTTGACACACTGAGCCCCCAGGACCCATTCTACAACCTGGTATGGTTTGGAGGAGGATGGACAATGGGACTTGCATATGGGAGCTGTAGTTCAGTTGCACCCACTAAACCCAGCCAACATTGGATCTATCTAGACCGATCTGTCGTTCGTGAGGTTCAGAATGCTCTTTGATTGTAGATGAACTGTGAATCCCAGTGACTACAACTCCCAGATATCAAGGTCTCTTTCCTCCAAACTCCATCTGTGTTCATATTTGGTCGTATTGAGTGCTTGTGCCAAGTTTGGTCCAGATCCATCATTGTTTGAGTCCATTGTTGTGTGCTCTCTGGATGTAGGTGAACTACAACTCCAAAACTCAAGGTCAGTGCCCACCAAACCCTTCCAGTATTTTCTGTTGGTCATGGGGTTCTGTGTGCCAAGTTTGGTTCAATTCCATCGTTGATGGAATTCAGAATGCTCTTTGGTTGTAGGTGAACTGTAAATCCCAGCAACCACAACTCCCAAATGACAAAACCATAATTTTTTGAGTGATAGTCACTCCTTGTGTTGTGAGACGTTTTGTTGCCAAATTTGGTGTGATTTCGTTCATTGGTTCTTTTGTTTTTAAGGTACTCATTATGCACAGAGCATTTATATATATATATATATATATATATATATATATATATATATATATATATAAAATGTATAAATGAGTTCTGGAAAGTTTTCCTTTACAATCGATTCAGAAACAACACTTTGGGTAGATTCTGGAGAGATTGCTTCAGAGATCGAGGTGATGGCACTGGGGTCCCATCTCCACTGCCATTTGATGCAGTTTCATATTATGGCATTCATTATATGAGTCTACACTGCCACATGATGCAATTCAATGCAGTTAAACTGTATTATAAAATTGCATTATATGTCAGTGTAGATGAGGCCTGGGAGAAAGAGAAGAAGGGACTTCTGTTTGTATAATGTTGAATTATATTCAGCATGATTTTTAAAAATGGCTGCATATCTATACAAGTTGTTGAAATGATCATTTGGTTGTGACTTCCTAAGTCCTAAGAATGACTTCGTAATGGGAGGAAATGTAGAGTCAATGGCAAAAAGTAAAATGTTTTGGAGCATCCTCCATCAGGGCTGCTATTGGAAATGTCCACCTTTGCTTTCCCTTCCACATGTGTGAAATTCACAAGTTCATTCAAAGGGCATCTTGTGTGGAAGGCTCAAAGGTAACTAAAGCCTTAAAGTACTAAAGTACCTCTCCCATGCTATTGATGTAGGCTGAAATGTGTTAAGAGCTATCAATATGCATCCTGATCCAACCAAAAGTACAGCCAACCAGATTCAATGGGTGTTATTCATTCCTAGGTGAATGAGCTTCAAATTACAGCTTCTGATCTTGTTTATTTTTAAACACCCCCATCCAGTTTGGGTGATATGTTTTCATCTATGTTAAAGACTAGTTTCACTTCCCAGTTCTAACTCTTAGCTGTTATTTGGGGATGGAAAGATCAAAGGGCGAGGCAGCACTGAGAGTTCCACAGAAACAGAGATTCAGTGAGATAATCTACTCTTATTGGACCACTGTCTCCCAAAGCAGTTTCTCCAAACTCAAGAATGTAAAACGGAATGTTTGTGGGCAGGAAAAGAGATTTAAAGATGGGCTCAAAGCCAACCTTAAAAATTCAGGCATAGACACTGAGAACTGGGAATCCCTGGCCCTTGAGCTCTGCAGCTGGAGGTCAGCTGTGACCAGCAGTGCTGCAGAATTTGAAGAGGCACGAATGGAGGGTGAAAGAGAAATGTGCCAAGAGGAAGGCGTGTCAAGCCAACCACGTCCGAGACCACCTTCCACCTGGAAACCAATGCCCTCACTGCGGAAGAAGATGCAGATCAAGAATAGGGCTCCACAGTCACCTACGAACCCACTGCCAGGACACCGAACTTGGAGGACCATCATCCTTGGACTACGAGGGATCGCCTAAGTAATTGGATCAACCATTTATTTAAACATTAGTGAACTTTTCCATTTATGCAGTGGAGCCAAATCTTTTATCAGCTCAAATCTACAATTCCTCATCCAAAATGTGTTCTCTATTTACTCTTCTCAGTTCATCTAACCCTCAAAGGATTACATGAGGATGCAGGAAATTAAAAAAAACAGGAAAATTCCTTTGCGAAACAGCACGACGTGGTGGTATTAGTACTGGGCTAAGCATCTGAGTGATCAGGGTTCAAATCCTTGATCAGTACTGGATGATCTGGGGCAAGCTGCATTCTCAGTTTTAGAAGAAGGCAATGACATTTTTTTTAAAAAGGGCTGTTGGTGACTGGTTGACTTGAAGGCCTCTCACTCATCGGGTCACTAAAGGTTGAAGTCAACAGCAGTTAACAACAAAATGGCAAACCTCCTTTGAGTAAATCTCCCCAAGAAAACCTAGGAGAGGTTTCCTATAAAGAGCTAATTAAAAAGTGCAGCGTACCAATAACAACAATAACAACTTACCATCAACAGGCCACCTGAAACAGGATCAGAATTTGTTCATGTGTACTTTCGCAAATGGACAGACTCTTTTCGCAATGACACCAGTATATATTGGCTTCCCAGATTTTATACGTATACTTTCCTTTTCCATTCTGAAAAGGTTTTATAGGGCTCCCACATTTTGCATGCTCCTTCAGTTCTATCATGCTCATTTGATCCAATACTACTCCTTCTCTGTACTATATGTCTGCAAGCTAAGAACAGCAATGCTGATGGTAGCTGATTGATGACACTTGTAGACCAACACATCTGGAAGGCAGTGTAGCCCATGAAAGTCCTAAATCTTAGTTCTAAACCCTGTCAGGATGGTCTTTAAGATAAACTATACTAGTATTTCTAGTTCCATTCTTTATTCTCACCTACGACTGGCGCACACCCCTTCAGACCATTTCTGAAATTCAATCTGGCCATGGATAAAAAGCAAAACTTACTGAAATTAATATTTTCCTTCCCTTCCTAGGTCCTCCAGCATGATTCTATGGTAACTTCTACAAGAAACATACCATAGAATCATCCGGAGGACCTAGAAAATTCTTAGAGGAGACATATTTTGTCAAACACAAACAGTTGACACAATGGTTATTGGTCCTGCATGTTAATAGAATCTTAGAGCTGGAAGAGACCCCAAGGGTCATCTAGTCCAACCCCATTCTGCCATGTAGGAACACACAATCAAAGCACAGATGGTCATCCAGCCTCTGCTTAAAAACCCCAGAGGAGAGTCCACCATGCTCCAAGGCAGCATACTCCACTTCCAAACAGGTCTTACTCTCAGGAAGTTCTTCCTAATGGAATCCCCTTGACAGATTGCCACCCAACCTCTGCTTGAAAACCTCCAGACACTTCTAAATTCTCCTGAAGATTTCTGCATGTTTGTGTTCGACTTGTTCCCATGTGTCCCTTTCCAGATAATTTGCCCTTGCTCCTATGTTTGATATGTCACAGAAAGTGGCCTTGGGGGTTAGTGCACATGGCCAGCCTTCTTTGGGCCTGTGCTTGAGTACATATGGTAACAGTGTCCACACCTCTAGTTGTTGCTTAATCCTAATCTCACAGATATACCAATTATTTCACATCCAAGGGGTACAGATGCCGAGGAAGTGAGTCTAGCAGTTCTGCAATACTGAAAATGTCTGTGTTGTAAGAGCATGAAGAAGCACCACAATCCCTTGCATTTCTGATGAGAAGTGAGCCCTTCTCTGCTCAACGGGACTTTTTCAAAAGTAAATTTGAATAAGATTTTAGCCTAAACATCCCAAAAACAATTTACATTTTGGACTTTTACCAAGGTGTTTTGCATAACTACTTATAGCAATACACTTGCACTTCAAGGGAATCTTGGTAACACATTGTAAGCATGGGTGGCTATTCAACCAAATACATATAGTAAACTGGCAGCCAGGTTACTAATGGGAGCAACGCTCAGGGAGCACACAACTCCTCTGTTGCGCCAACTCCACTGGCTGCCAGTTTACTGTTGGGTACAATTCAAAATGCTGGCTTTAGCCTATAAAGCCCTAAATGGTTCCGGCCCAGCTTACCTGTCCAAACATATCTCTCCTTATGAACCATCTAGGAACTTAAGATTGTCTGGGAAGGCCCTGCTTTCAATCCCGCCTTTCTTGCAGGTGTGCTTGGTGGGGACGAGAGATGGGCCTTCTCTGTGGTGGCCTCTCAGCTGTGAAACTCCCTAGGTATATTAGATCGGCCCCCTCCCTCCTGACTTTCCGAAAAAGAGTAAAAAGTTGGCTCTTCAAACATGCTTTTGGAAATGCAGTGTAATATATACATGAAACTATGAAGAAAGAACATGGAATGGCTAGACAATGCTACTGGATAATGGGTTTAACAGGACAACACTGGTGATTATATTTTTTAATTTTTATATGGTTTTTATAATGTTATGCTGAATGTTTTAATTGTATTTTTATGAATGTGTGATCAAATTGCTGCCAATTCTAGAAGCCACCTTGAGTTGCCTTAGGGCTGAGAAAGGTGGGCTAGAAATACCGCAAATAAATAAATAAACAAACAAACATGGCAGTGGTAGGGGAGGATATTAAAATGCCTTTTATTTTCACAGGTCTGTCTAACTGAAGAGGCATGAATGGAAGGTGAAAGGGAAAAACATACCAAGTGGAAGGCATGTCAAGGAAACTCTTGCACAAACCACTTTACATATGGAAATTGATGCCCTCACTGTGAAAAACCATGTGGATCCAGAAAATTTCTTCACAGTCACTTATGAACCCACCACCAAGACTACCCTTGGAATACAATCATACTCAGCCAAGAGTGATAGCCTATGATGATTATGAAACTCAGTTATGCTCTTAAATAATCCAGCCCCTGAAACAGGAAGGAAAACTGCTGAATTGTTCTTAAATCTCTCTGTAGACTGTAGAATATCACAACCTTCAGCTTGTACAGCTCTCTTCTACCTATGTTCGGCACGACATTTGTATTCCAGGTATTTTGTATTATAACAACTATAACTTTTGGCAAATGAAAACTGCAGTCAAAAATCTCTGCAGGACTTGGTAAAGGTTGAGAAATCTGGAGGAACAAAAACTGGTAAATATTTTGGAATAAGAACAAGGAGATCATGGATGCTTATACAATTTTGTATGACACAGAGAAACTGAACTTAGATATTCTTGCTTCTTGTTGTTTGCCTTCCAAGTTGTTTCTGAGTTATGGCAATACTAAAATGAAACTATCATGGGGTTTTCTTTGCAGGGTTTGTTCAGAGGGGATTTCCTTATGCCTACCTCTGAGGCCATGAGAGTATGGCTTCCCGAAAGTCACCCAGTGTGTTTCCATGACTGGATATGGATTCACAACCTGGTCACCAGGGCCATAGTTCTCTGCTCAAACCACTATACCACGGTGGCTTTCTTTGTTCTTGCTCATCCTACTACCATTTAGAAGCATGCAATTATACTAAGTGGCAGAGGATTCAGGAGAAACGTAAGAGGGCAATTCTTTGTACAATATGTAACCATATGTGGAAGTTAAATGTCATAACATGGAGTAATAGTCATTACCTGACAGTCACTTGAATTCCTGCAGCCCCAGTAGAAGTCCCTACTCACCCATGAAACCCACTTATCAGCCTTAGGCCAGCTATTCCCTCTCAGACCTATTCTGAAGATAAATAAAGATAAAACCAGCAAGGAGAAATGTACACACACTAGGGTCCAGGAGGAAAGGCAGGACACAACTAATAAAGGTTTAATGAAAAGGTTAATATGGCTTTAAACACAAATACAGAATGTCAGCATAATCATGCATTTAAAAGCTTCCAGGGGACATATGTGTCTCCCTAATGGTTGCTTGGGAGTAACCACAGGAGAGGATTGTTGTCCTCACAGTACTTATTAGGGATATCTGATTGGCCCTGATGGACTGGAATTGAGTTTGAACTCTTGTGTTGAGTTTTAGCAATGTTAGAAAACCAAGGTCCAAATCCAGTTGTTAGTCCCAATGGCAATGGACCAACTAACCAACAGGGACTCAGAAATTTAACACTGCTGAGTTTCATGGATTCAGTGGATCTCCATTTGGGAATTATGATTTGGATGTAGATCTAGAATGAAGATGGAAATCATTACTCCTGATTAGTAAATGCTTTTTAAACATTAAGAAAACAAAAATAATGAGCACAGATAATTTACATACGTTTAAAATAAATGATGAAAACTTAATACAATGGTAGTTCAACTTTTTCTATTCCAGAATAGAAAATACAAGTCAAGAAATCAGAAGAAAACTAGAACTTGGAAGGGCAGCCATGAAGGATCTAGAGAAGATCTTGAAGTAAAAAGAAGTGTCATTGAATACAAAATTAAGGATGCCTCGTGACATCATCTTCCCTATTTCTATGTATGGTTGTGAAAGCTGGACGGGAAGAAAATGAACTCATGTGAGATGTGGTAATAAAGAAGAATTCTGTGGATGTCCTAGATTACAAAAAACACTAATACATGGGTCCTAGAACAAATCAAGCCTGAATTCTCCTTAGAAGTCAACATAACAAAGCAGAAACTGTTGTACTGTTAACTGTTATTATGATTTTTCTTTTTACATGTATGTTGGCACTGAATTTTTGCCATTAGTATTTTGTAAACCACCTTGAGTCCTCCAGGGGCAAAAACGCTGGTATATAAATATAGTAAATAAACAATTAAATAATAAATAAATACTGTAGATATCTTATGCGAAGGAGCCTCCAGTGGTGCAATGGGTTAAACCCTTGTGCAGGCAGACTGCAGACCAACAGGTCAGAGGTTCGAATTTGGGGAGAGCGCAGATGAGCTCCCTACGTCATTTCCGGCTCCCCATGCAGAGACATGAGAGAAGCCTCCCACAAGGATGGTAAGACATCAAAACATCCGGGTGTCCCCTGGGCAACAACCTGGCAGACAGTCAATTCTCTCACAACAGAAGCAACTTGCAGTTTGTCACTCCTGACACGGGAAAAAAAAATCATGCAAAGACAGGATTAACTAGTAAAGATATGCTTGGAGAGATAGAAGACAGTAAGAAAAGTGTAAAACTGTCAAAGAGGGAAAAACTCAATGAAGGAAGCCGCGTCCCTGCATCTGCAAGATCCAAAGTGGACTACTTCTCTCATTTATGAAGCCACCATAATTCAAAGTCCACTTGTTGACAGTTAACAACAATATAAACGGGAGGGCTATAGCAGCCATGTTAGAAATGCAGCAGATCAGGAGAGGGATAGTCCAGGATGTCCAGTAGAGGGCAGCAGAACACAACTTTAATTTCAGACTGAATTGGAAGCTCTTTAGCAAATATAGGACTTCATCACATTGAGGCAAGGAAGTGTCTGGCAGAGAACAGCTATGTCTTACTTTGTTTTGTAATGAAACTGATGTTTTCTCTACCTTCATCACACTGCTAAATGTCTCAGTTTTCTTTCTGTATTCTTTCACCAGATGCCTTCACTCCGCAGACATTTGGCCCCGCCCACTATCCTCCCTGTTCATTTTTGGGGGGAAAACACCTCCTCTCTTTGAAATCCCTACTAAAGTGAGATTCTAGGTGAGATCTGAGAAGTTCTGAGCATGTTCAATCTGTATGCATGGAGACATGGTATAATAATAATAATAATAATAATATCTAAAATGGGTCCCGACTGCATTTATTCTCCAGTTCAGATGCATCCAGAAAAGGATATGGATCTTGGGAAACTATAACTCCCAGGACTGCATAGTGTGGAGCTACGGTATTTAAAGTGGGACCCAAGAGCATTCATTCCATAGTGTAAATGCATCAAGAGAAGGGTATGGATCTTGGGAAACTATAACTCCCAGGACTACACAGCATGGAGACATGGCATATTATTATTATTATTATTATTATTATTATTATTATTATTATTATTATTTCTCTCCTGGCTTTCCCATGCAACACAAGGCATGGAGGGAAGGGAAGGAACCTAGAAAGACTATATTTTAAAAAGAAATTTTTCTGGCAAAGTAAAAACTCGGTGAGCAAAAAGTAATGCTTTCCCTAACAAGGGTACTTTTGGCTCCTCCCACAATTTCCTCTCCCACAAATTGGGGAAACATTTCATTTCAAACCTGAGAGCAACAAATGCAATCACATTAGAGAATTGGCCAAACATCCAGATCATTTCCAAAAATGCACTTCCCCACCACCACCTGAAACCTTTGAAAAGAATGCTGGCCCCCATGCTTAAAATATGCATCAAATACTCATCTTACACTTGGAACCAAACTAATGTTATGAGAACAGTGGCTTCCCAGATTTTAAGTGTAGTACTCAGTGTTGCAACTGTATGCAACAAAGAACTAAAACAGAATGCTTTAGAGAACTTACTGTTTAAATTCTCAACCAATAAGAAATGTACCTGTATGCTTAATGCATTACGTTTGTAAGTAAATCAACTATATTACTTCTAACAAAGACTATACTATTTTTGGTCTCTTGAGAGCATGATTTAAAAGCAATATATTTTATGTGAGAGTAGATGTTTTTGGGCAAGTGAAATAACACTTCTAATCCATATATTTTGTGCATTGGCATATCTTTGTTCCTGACAGTTCAGAAAGATAACCAGGTATATCAGTCTAACAACTGGAAAACCTAATTTACCTTTCATGAATACTAGTGGATATTTTCCACTAAGGAGAAGATTCACTCAAATGAGTATTTAACTCTTCTCAGGAAGATCATATTTTACAAAAAAAAAAGTCATAATTATTCCAAATAGTGTGAATACCAATTAATCTCCAAAAGGGTCATGTTTCTAAAAGGCTATGGAGATTCCTGGTTTCCCAAAAGTTTACGATCTCTAACTAAAAGTTCTGCAATAATAATAATAATAATAATAATAATAATAATAATCCTTTATTTATACCCCGCTAACATTTCCCGAAGGACTCGGTGCGGCTTACAAGAGGCCGAGGCCCAACACATCAATAAAACAACAGCATAACAAATACAACAATAAATAAACTCATAAAACAAGCAATAAACATTAAAACAATAGCAATAAACATTAGACAATAACACCATGACACATTTAAAACTAAGGCCGGGCCAAATGTAATGATTAAAATTTTAAAATGCTGAACATGACAGGAGAGATGGATAGGTTTTTGGAGATAGGTGCGGTGTGCATACAGTCTTAAATCTCTAGTAAAGTGCAATTGGGACATGATGCTAGGAGTGTCCTATTCTGGGAAGGCACACTGGAACAACCACGTCTTCAAGCTCTTCCTAAAGACTGCCAATGTTGGGGCTTGTCTGATATCCTTGGGGAGAGAGTTTCAGAGTCGGGGGTCCACCACGGAGAAGGCTCTGTCCCTCATCCCCACCAATCGCGTTTGCGACGCAGGTGGGATCGTGAGCAGGGCCTCTCCAGATGATCGGAGAGATCGTGTGGGTTCATATACGGAGATGCAGTCACGTAGGTAGGATGGTCCCAAACCGTTTAGGGCTTTGTAGGTAAGCACCTGCACCTTGAATTGGGACCGGAAAATGAACGGCAGCCAATTGAGCTCCTTAAACAGGAGGATTGACCTCTCTCTGTAAGGAGCACCAGTTAACAACCTGGCCGCCACCCGTTGGACCAGTTGGAATTTCCGGGCCATTTTCAAGGGCAGCCCCACGTAGAGCGCATTACAGTAGTCAAGGCAACTGTTTGTGACTACACATTAATCTTCATCACGATACTCCTCCCATGGCTATGCTAGGTGGAAAGGATAGAAACTGTAGTCCTGCCTGCCTGGGGAGAAATCAGGTTTTAGGGAGGCAGAATAAGCTATTCTGACTTGGGATATTTTCCAACTTGTCGCAGACTTAGGGACTCGATCTAGATCCTCGTTACTGCAATGTCATGACTGTACACTATACTTAGAATGTGTTCTAAAATCCTTATTTGAATTACAAACTGCAAGTGAAAGGCAAAAGGTGCCTTTTGGGTAAGTTCTTTACGAAGAGGCATGGACTGCCAAAAGGCGAAAGAGCATCCCTATTTAGCATATCTCTTAATATGCAAAACAGAAACTGAAGTAACATTATATTGCAGTGATGAGTGAATAGAAGGCATCTGGATGTCAACATCATTTATGCATCTACTGTTCCTAAGCAAAATATAAAGAGATAGCCTACATGCAACCTGTTCAGCCTGATTATCTCTTGATGCAGACAGAGCCATTGTTTCCCAATGTCTGAACCTGCGGCACTGCAAGGCTTTTATTTAAATGAGATATAGGAAAAGAAACTTAAGAGTTCTAATGGATTGTTGCTTGGGAATGCTGTTGCTGTGTACCTTCAAGTCATTTCAGATTTATGGTGATTCTAAAGTGACCAAATCATGGGATGTCCTTGGCAAGATTTTTCCAAGGGAGTTTGATTTTGCTTTCTTCTGAGGCTGACTGTGAGTTGCTTATGATCATCCAGTGGGTTTCCACATCTGAACAGGGATTCAAGTACTGTTCTCCAGAGTCATAGGGCACATCTACACTCACCGCTTAAGTCAGTTTCAAACCAGTATTGAAGAAAGTGGTTTCGCTGTGCTGATGATTACGCAGGAAATCCTGGAAGCAGTTTGAAGCCCAGGTGGTAAGTACACAAACCACAGGGCACTGGTGCGCATTAAGAGATTTCTTTCATGTGTTTTTGTGGAAGTTTGTTGTCTAGCCACTCCAGTTTTAAGTTATGGTAGCTTTAAACTATCAGTGTAGATGGGGCCCTAGTCCAATGCACAAACCATTACTCCACACTGGCTCTGTTGCAGAATGTGAACCCAATAATAATAATAATAATAATAATGATGATGATGATGATGATGATGATGATGATGTCGCTATACCAGGTGACAGTCGCATTGAGGAAAAACAACAGAAAAAACTTAGCCACTATCAAGACCTCAAAATCAAACTGCAAAGGCTTTGGCGCAAACCAGTACAGGTGGTCCCAGTTGTCATTGGGGCACTGGGTGCCGTGCCAAAAGATCTCAGCTGGCATTTGGAAACAATAAACATCGACAAAATCACGATCTGTCAACTGCAAAAGGCCACCTTACTTGGATCTGCGCGCATCATTCGAAAATACATCACACAGTCCTAGACACTTGGGAAGTGTTCGACTTGTGATTTTATGATACAAAATCCAGTATATAGATCTCGTTTGCTGTGACATACTGTGCTTTTGTGTCAATAATAATAATGATATAACTTTATTTTTATACCCCACCTCCATCTCCCCAAAGGGACTCGGGGCGGCTTACAAAGGGACAAGCCCAGAGACCACAGAGTTAAAATGTAGTGCAATAAAACAAAACAATACCAAATAGAATCATATCGCAATAAGACATAACATCCTAAAAACATTACCATGGGAGCAATAAAAGTGTTGAGTTCAGAGGGCTCTGAGTTTGTGCAAAATTCCTAGATAGAGCTACGGGAAAGTGCAAAAATTCAGTGGAAGGGATGGGAGAACAATGTCCTTGGGCTTTATAATGTCAGGATTGTAGAGTGTATATAGAGTTTTGGATAGTATAGAAGAATTAACACTCCTGTGGTTTGGGTTGCTGTGAGTCTTCTGGGCTGTATGGCCATATTCCAGAAGAATTCTCTCCTAACGTTTCGCCCACATCTATGGCAGGCACCCTCAGAGGTTGTAAACTAGGCACGTGGGGTTTATATATCTGTGGAATAATGTCCAGGGTGGGAGAAAGAACTCTTGTCTGCTTGAGGCAAGTGTGAATGTTACAATTGGTCACCGTGAGTAGCATTGAATGGCTTTGCAGCTTGGCTGCTTCCTGCCCGGGGGAATCCTTTGTTGGGAGGTGTTAGCTGGCCTTGATTGAGTCTTGTCTCCAATTTATCACGTTTGTTTTGCTCTCTGTGCTGCTGTTCAGAAAATGTCACATTTTCTGTCCCGGCCAGAATTGGAATTTTGAAAAATGTGGCTTGTTGTGGAAACAAGGATGAGTGATGAAGCTTCAGTGGAGACACCCTTTCCCCCCATGATAATAACTCTTCCAGGAGTGAATTTCCCTTCTGAGGGGTAGATTTCTCTCACTTCCTGTCGTCTCACCCCCGTTCTTAACTATGAGTCGTTTTCAGGCCAGATGTTTGTAACTCGGGGACTGCCTGTAAATGAAGAGTTTTCGTGGATTACGCTGTGTCCAGCATTTCCTTGTTATAACTTATGTACGTGCCTTTATTTATCTTTGATATGCGGGGATTGGCTCACCCTCTTGGTTTGCTTTGCTAGCAATACTGAATGACTAGTAGGCGGGGCTTCCCTCCTCCCCCTCCCTTCCTCGCAACGTGGCGCGAGCCCTCCTCCTCCCTCCCCCCTCCCACCTTTGGGGGCGGAGCTACCGAGGCCCCTCCCACTGCTCCTGCCTCCGCCGCGGGAACAACCCGGAAGCGGGCGGCGCTGGAGCCCGAGCCCTTTCCTGCTCGCGCGCGCCAGAGAGGGAGAGAGGCGCGAGCTGGGAAAGGAGCGTCTGCACGGACGGAACCGAACCGGAACCATGACTCACCAGACCGGCATCCACGGTAGGCCGGCAGGAAGGGAGGGCAAGCATTCCTCTCCCTTCTGGCAACCAGGGAGGGCCTCGGCCGCCCTCCCTTTGCAAGGACCCCTCGCATCTTCCTCAAAGATCCCCTCCACCCTCCCTGTGCAGCCCACCTTGCCTGCCTTCCCTCTTTCTCCTGGCCTTGCTTCCCACCCAGGCGCTTGGGCAGAGGAGGGTTAGAGGAGAATTGGGGGGTGGCACCCCTGTGAGCGAGCGAGAGGAGCAAGATCTAAGCGAGTGCTTGTGCTGGGAGGGAGAGGAGGGTGTTTGGGGGTGCAGCCAGGCTGTTAAGGGAAGGAGAAAGCTTGGGGAGCAGCCAAGGCGGGGAGGGAGAGGGGGACATTGGACAACAGCCATGATGTATGTGGAGGGAGAAGGGAGGAGAAAATGTGGGGGTGCAGCCAGGATCTGGGGGCGGGGTATCTATGATGTGTGATTGGGGAAAGAAGATTTTTCCATGTTGGAGGAGAGGGGAACATTCAGGGTGGCAACCATTATGGAGAAAATGTAAAGAGCAAGATGTCTGTGGAGGGAGAGGAGAAAATTGGGGTGTTTGGGAAGAGAAAAGAAAGGGGACAACCATTTTATTGGGGGGGGGGTGCAAGGAAATTTTGGGGTGTAAATAAATAAAGGGGACAACCATTTTGTGGGGGATACAAGGAAATGTGTGGGGAGGTGTTCTTTAAAGATGGATCCTGTCAGTCGCCCTTGGAAGCTAAGAGGATATTTCCAGGTTTCAGGTGTATTGCACTTTGCACATAAAAGGCTGTTGCGTTGTGTGCCCTAAAGGGGGGAGAGAGAGAGCGCAGGGTGAGGGCTCACCTGTCTCCCAAATGCTAGGTAAAACCTGAAATTCCAGGCCTCCTGAGAGGAGGGTCTGCTTTCTCAGGTACACACTCCATCAAACAACAAGGCGTTCCTTCTCCAGGCTGAAAAGGTTACCTGGAGTGGTGGTTGCCAAGTGGGAACAACTGTCATGCAGAGCCTGTTGTTCCTCTGGGCTTTCTGTATAGCATTCCCCATAAGTCACCTTTGCCATCAAGCTTTTCAGAGTCTGCAGCGGCCCTTGTTTCTTGGAGTGATCGGTTTTAGTGTTTTCTTTGGCTTGCCATCTTCATTCAGCCGGGAGCAGCGTCTTGTGAAGCCTGCAAAGGCAGCAACAGCCGTTGTTTGGGTTCACTGTCTGGCCCTGCCATGATCGCTTCCAGGGAGAGCATTGCATTTCCTTGTATGTCTTTGCTCAGCGAAAGGGTTTGAAATATGTCCTCCTTCTTCCCCTGTGCTGCTCCATTATCGCTTAACATGTTTAGCTCTGCAGTGTGAATCATAATTGCAGGAGCCATTTCTCTTTCTGCATAGCAGGCAGCTACTTCATTCTTACATCTGCCTGCCTCCTTTTGCCTTTAGCCGTCTCCAGGCACTTTCACAAAATATGATTCGGAACATAAATTGTATCAGATCTATGCTAAGATTTGGGTGAAAACCAAAAGCTAAAAGGAAAGGGCAATTTGAGCAGGAAAGCTATCTGGATGTGACAGTTCAATAGTACTGTGTGTATATGAGATAGGGCAGGGGAATGAGATTGATCATATCAATAATACCTGTGACACATACAAATACTTTAATGCTTTTGCTTATCCTGTTTTTAATTCTTTACTTTGGATTTTTAGAGGATGTAAAGCCACAGATTGGGACCTGAGGCCTAATGCAAACCTGGCCTCATATCAGTTTTAATTCTCCAAACAGTACCTTTTCCAGCAGAAAAGAGAGATTTAATGTCAGTTGTACTGAACACATATAGAATCTGTATTGGAATCTTTGCATACTGTAATGAACTGAATGAGATTCATGGCAGAGTAGTGAAGATACAGTCTGAAATAACAGAATGACACTGAGTAATAAGCAATGTGGTTGGAAACCAAGAAAGTACCTCAAGAGCAACAGGCAGGTCATCTTTTAGGATACATCTAGTTAAACTCTCCCTTTTACCAAGAAATTCTTATTTTTGAGATGATGAACATGTCTAACAAGAGTGTTTCCAACACTTATGTTAAAATGGGTGGAAAGAGTAATTTGTCAAAATAGTACAGCTACATAATCTCAAAAATACTTTTGAGCACGATACTGCAGTACTATGAGGTTCTTCCTCAAATTGAAACAAAACATTTGCATTTTGCTGTTAGGAACTACTGGATACTGGTAGCTCTCAAGCTATGTTACAAGAGATATACTGGTCTGTAGTGATTGTTTAGGCCTTAAGGATTAATTTCACCTACTTTAAGTAAGTCATCTCTAGCTAAAGCAGATTTGGTTGCCAAGTTAAGTTTATCCCTTTAAGGACCAGTCATAAGACATAGATTAAAAGTGTGTACATACTTACGTTGGAATCACTTCTACGTGCCAGACGACATGCAGCTACATCCAGTGGAATGGAATACACGTGACCTTTACATTATCATTTGACTCCTCTGTCTTCCAAGGAGTTTAAGTATATGGGGGTTTCCCTTGGTATTTTATCTTGAAAGCAACACTGTGGAGTAAGGTAGACTGAGAGATGGTGACTAGCCCAAAGTGAGCTTCAGTATTGAGTGAGGATTTGAGTGTTTCCCTCTAGTTCTTTGTTGTTAACCACAGTCAAGTTGGCTTTAACTTATGGCAACACTTCAAGTCCCTCTGTCATCAACTACCCTGCTCATGTCTTGCAGATGCAGAGCCTTGGCTTCTTTGATAGAGTCCATCCATTTGGAAGGTGGTCTTCCTCTTTCACTGCTGTTTTCTATCTTAACAAGCATTATTGTCTTTTCTAGTGACTCCTGTCTTCCCAAGGTGTGTCCAAAATACAACGATCTCATTCAATCAGCTTTGTTTTCTAGTGAGAGTTCTTGCTCTAATGCCCATTTATTTGTCTTTTTAGTCATCCACAGTGTCCACAGGACTCTCTTCCAGCACCTCATCTCAAATTGCTTCCTATTCACTTCCTTCTTTGTCCGGCTTTCACAATAATACATAGTGATTAATGGGAAATACAATGACACAAACCATCCTGATTTTAATATTCAGTGATATAGCTGTACTCTAGTCCTAGTCCAGTACAACTTGTGTGATGGATACTTGTGTCATTCTTTAAATGCCTATGTACATCTGTCAATAACCTTTGATCAGTAATACTCAAATGAGAGTTATAGATACTGTCCAGCTTGTCTAGCTCTTGCCTTTTTCTATAGCTGGTTTATCTTTGTAACATCAAAGTAAAAGAGGAAAGAACCAAGGCATATATTATAGAGATGTTGTAACTTCTATGATGATTATGAACTGCAGCTATTTTGGACTGTGCCATCTATTTTGATCTTAGCAGTTTGCAGTCTACTATTTGGATTAGCAGAATGTGATTTCACGGTCTTGGTGCGACTTGTAGATGTCAGGTTCACTGAAACTCCACTCTGAAATATGAGAGAACCTTTATCTAAAACAGTGGTTCCCAACCTGTGGTTTGTGGACCACAAGTGCTCCCCAAGAATGAAAATATGGTCTGAATCCTCACCATTACTACATTGTTGCCTTGAAACTACACGACGAGAGCTACTGGTCTCGAAAACCCTCTTATAGTGCCAGGGGAACAGGGATGATGGGAGGGGAGAGGCTGACTACCCACGAAAGATTACTACTACCTCACCAGCTCTAGATTATTAAATATGGTTTTCTGTGGGTGAGCAGATGGCGACTACTGGGTGACATATGTTCTGTACCTTACGTTAGAGCTGATGTGGTCTTTACAATACAATTTTCTGAATTGGCACCCCAAATAACCAAACCGAATCTAAAGTTGACCAAAATTCATAATCCTTCTGGAATTTATGTTGGAGAGAGGTCCCTGGTCAAAGTGGTCCCTGGTCAAAAAAAGGTTGGGAACCACTGATCTAAAAGTAAGTTGGATAGTTGATAGTCTCAAATTTAGGTGATTCTTAATTGTCTGATGATTTCTCATCCCAAGAATGAAAGGACTGGAATTAACATAGGGGTGGCCAGATGTTGTTGGAACCACAGCTCCTTTCTAGCATTACTAGTGGTGAAGAATGAGGGAAGTTGTAGTTGCATTCCAGTGCTCATAAAGGGCCATAATTCAGAGCAAACAAACAACAGCATTATTGAGGTTCTGCTGTGGGAAGTGGAGATTATTGCTTACTTTCCCAAATCTAACACAATAGTAATGATTTGAATTACAATTTAATAGTTCTGTTAAAAACTCTAGTGTTATCGGATTTTATAAAAAGACCCTTATTGAGTTACAGCCTTGCATTTTCTTTAGCTATCTGAATACTGGATCTTTTGCCTAGATAACTTTGATTTTGTTTTGATATATGCAAATTGATATACAGTATGAGAAATTACCTATATCTTGAAATCTCTCTTGGATATAAGCAAATAATAAAAATAATAATAGAAGCTCATGCTGCTGGGATTCCCTGGAAGGAGGGTTACCATGGCAAGAGTTCATTTGAGGTTTTGGTCATTGTAAACAAGCTGGCTGTGTCTGTATGAGTCTTCTCTCCCCACCCCTCCACTCCAATATGCTTTAACTACCCTGAAATCTCCGCTGAGGTTTTAAATATGTTATAAATTATGTAACAAAATCAATATTAATGTGTAGAACCTGGAGATGCAAAAGACTTCCTCGACCTTTTCTATCCCTGATGATGCAAACTCTTCAGTTCACTTTCCATTTCAGTTGCAGTGCATGGATGTATTCCCCCAGCTGTCTTCAGGAGTTGCTTGCACAAAATAATAGATCTTGACATTCCTGAATACTTCCTACTGTTAAACACCTTGGTGATATTCTTTTGGCAAAACCCTCCAGTTTATGGTCACTTAGAGGCATGACTTGGCAATAAAGCTGGTTGGATCCTGACCTCTGCTCTATAAAGAGTTTTTCATCAAGAAACAAACATGGGAAAATAGTTTTCTGACTAAGCAAAATGTTTG